CTGTTTGACTCCCAACACGTTTTTCAAAAGGGTTGTGCTTATAAAAGTTCTCAAGTGAATGAGGTGGTAGTATGTTTAAGCCTTGATAGTGAGCCTGAGAAATTTTAAATACTGTGTATTCCTTCTTTAAACCTATAGTCCATTAAAATGTTTGGGAATGAAATGGGAACAAAAAGGAGGCAGACAGCAGAAGAAACCGGGCCAAGTCACAAGAATGTGGCATGTTTGTGTCCCTGTGCCCACAGAGGGACAGCCCCGGTCGCCTAGGCTTCCTGATTGGCTGGTGTGAGTCAGGTGTTTATTGAACACATTCCTTCCGACCAATCATTTGCAATGTTCTAAGCCCAGGGCAAGGAAGACTTTGTCACTTCCAAGCAGAAGACATATTATATAATGCTAGGAATTCTGTCAGAAAGGCACCTCCGAGTTGATCGCATAAACCTTCCCACGTAAGTCAGACATCCTCTCCAGAGCCTGTCCTCTACGCCTCACTTCAATTCCGCCGGCATCAGGACAGTCCCAACAATTTCCTGCTGGGAGCACCTATAATTGAGACGAAGTTCTTTCTCATATGAAGCTGAAATCTGACTCCCACCCACTGAGCCAAATTTTGTTTTAAGAAGCTCACACCACACATTGATCCCCTCCCCTGCAGTTGGGTGCTGTGTTTACGAGCCTGGGATTTGGGGTCAGGTGGCCTTGACCTCCAAGGTCAGCTCATCCCCTCACCAGCTGTGTGAGCTCGGGCAGGTGCACCTGTCACAGAATCAGCATTTTCAACAGGAATCATGACACCCGCCTTGTAGAGTTGCTGTGACAATCAGATAAGGTGTCATATATCAGGTGCATGACAATGCACCTACTGGACAAGGAGGTACTTCCAAGAGTTTCCTCTCTTATAAGAAAACAGAGACAAGCACAGAGTGGCTTTTCCCTCCCCTCTCTTTTGGGTGCTGCCCTGTGACAGTGTCTCTCAGAGTCACGGCAGTCATCTCGGGTCCATGAAGCAACAATGTTGAGGTTGGTGGCAGTAAGGGGGCAAAGCAGGAGGCCATTGATGACCCTGTGGTGCTGCTGAGCAAATTCTGGGGGCACCCACCTGCAGACTTCTCATTGGCGTGCTGGTCCAATGTCCTCACTGTAGAAGCCATTTTCAGTTAAGTAGCAGCCTGCTCCTTGTAGGTGGACACACCCCGAAAGCACCAAGGGCAAACACTACCCATCACTAGGTCTCTCCTTATAACACTAGGTCTCTCCTTTCTCCTGCTTACACATTCTAAAGACGGGTGAGAGCTGACTATATACACACGCACATACAATACGTCGCTGTACTTCCTGCCTATAATTGTGAGCAATTAAATATACGTAGGAAAATACGGAAAGTATACATAGAAAAAGAGATAAAAGCGGATTGGGATAGTAAAAGGGTAAGAATGGAAATCTTAGGGATAAAACCATGGATGGTACAATTTCTTCTATGTCTCTGTATGTCACACATGTGCTATGAAACCAGACATTAATCTCCAGATGGAAAAAATTAACTTTCTTTGTAAGAAATAAAACTTCCCTGAGGGTGCATTTTTGCAGCAATGGAGGAATTCAGCCAGGCCGACGCTTCATAGAAGGCCCACTGGGCAAAAGGCACACAGCACATGTCACCACTCACCACGCACAGGCTGCCGCATACTTTTCTACTGCCTAAGAATAGAAAAATGGGCATGGGCCTAATTTATACTGGGAAAAATTAAAAATTAAGCACTTCTGTCTAATTAAAATAAGCAGGGAGCTGGACCGCACGGTCCCCAGGCCTGTCCCCAGGAAAATGGACAAGGCTCCGGACAAAACCGCACGGCTGTCTGAGCAGTAACATGGGGGCTTTTACGGACCGGAGACCCAGCTCTTCTGTGCAAGGCCCTGAGAAATAAGCACACGTGTTCTGTCATGTGACCTTGAGGGTAAAATAGTAATTAGGACTGAAATTTCTAATTGTTGCCTTGGTTAGTGGGACCAGAGCTCGGATGACAGGAATATAAATGTCCCCAAATGGTAGCCCCAGCAGCCTGTGATGTAGACACCTGGCTCAGAATCCCATACCTTATTATTCTGGGGTGTGAGATGGAATTCATTTGGGGGTCTATTTCATTAGGAGGAAAATAAACTCACAAGGGAAAGGCCCAAGTCTTTCTTCTTTTGAAACGAACGTCTTCGACTGTCAACCGATGTTACTTATTAAGGATATTTCAGGTAACTGGTTACTGAAAGATGAAGACAGCATCCTTTGAAAAATAATCAAAGGAGTAAAAAGTACCAGTAACCTTTCCTGTCTCGTTTGGAAGATGACACTCACCGCAAGGCAGGGAGAAGAAGGGAAAGCGTTCTTACCAGTGGTAAGAACCAACTGGTTGTGGGCGGGGCCTCTAATGAACAGGTAGAAGCTCAGTCAGCCTTGGGGGGTTGGGGTGGGGGCTGGGAAAGCCGGGAGACCAGGGGCCCTCTGGGGAGGTGCCTGAACCAGCCGGGGCCCCGCCCGAGGGAGGGGCGCTGTGTAGGAGGCAGCGCGCACAGACCCGGGGAAGTAAGGAAGGATGGCAGGGAGGAGACAGACTGGGCAAGTCAGGGGCGGTCCCAGCATGGAGGGGAGTCCACCACACCTGGCTGTAAAAGTCTAATTTTCCTCCGCCAGCACAGTCGTTACCATCTTGTGCTTCGGAGTCAGACGGAAGGTTTGAATTCCAGCTCCTCCGATGCATTGCTGCCTGGCCTTAGGCAGGTCTGTTCCTTTTCTTGCTTTGCTTTCTGTTCCTTCTTTTCTTCTTTCTTTCTCCTCCCCCCGCCCCCGCCGAATTTTGGCTTCACTCTTTTAAACGTTTCATTATGAAAAATTTCAAAAACCCACAAGTGAAGAAGACTGCAGTGTACCCCACGTTCCCATCATCCCCTTGCACAACCGACCCACCTTGTCTCACCTGAACCCTCCTCCTCCCACCTTCGTCCTCACCTGCTGCGCGTTAGGCCCGGCTTTATTAAGGACCGCGGACCTGCAGGTGGGAGGAGCTAGGAGACTGCCCGCCAAGGGCCTGCGCCTGTCCTCCCCTGGCCACGCCCTTCCCCCCTGGGGTGGAGAAGGGAGGGCCAAGGAAAGGTGCCCATCAGGAGCCTGTGGCCCATCAGCAGACACTGGTACCTGGAGCCCAGAAATCCTTGCCCCTGGCTCCAGGCCCCACTGGGCGTGCTCTGAGCCCTGCGTGGGCCCTGCTGCATGGTCGCCATGGGCAAAGTGGCTGCTGGAGAGGTGGCTGTGGGCAGAGCTTGGACCCGGGGTGAGGCCACACACACACAGGTGTGGGGTCCCTGGAAGTACTGAATGAGAGAGGAGAGGTGGAAAGAAAGGACCCTCCTAGTTCCTGCCGACCAAGACCTCCATCTGGGGCCCCACTCTTGGCTCACAGCCCACAAATATTCTTAAGTATCTGAAAGTAAGGGACATCTACAGTGTTTCTCGGTGTTCTTGAATGTAGATTAGGTACTGATGCCTCATCCACTCAGCTCACGAGACAAAGGGCCCCGTGAGCCGTGGAGTCCCTGGGAAAAGGCACACGGGCGGCACTGAAACAGTGAGGACGCCTGCAATTGTCAGCAGAGCAGCAGGGTGGCACTGAACCTCAGAGACAAAGCAGAGCTTTCTAAGGCTCTCACTGCTCTAGAGTTAAAGAGAGTCCCCCCACCTCGGCTCTTCACCCCCCCCATACGCCTGAAAAAACACCTCCATTGTAGGAAGCTTTCCCCTCCTGTGATGGGCAGACGTGTCTGACCTTGGAAATCTCCCCTTCGTGGTTAAAGCAGAAGCCACCTGTGGACACCTCTGTATGGAACCGAATTCTTGCTTAGGTGCACACTTCACTTTGGAAGGAAGGGAATGCCAAGAGTAGTATGTATCCCTTACAATATAGAACTCAGCCGTTGAAGTGCAAGGGCACCTCAACAAGTAGAAAAGGCAGAGAAGGGCAGCCCACCACAGCAATAAGCCTTTTGTACCCCTGAGCAGATAATAATGGGGTTTCATTGGAATCGGAACACAATCTCCATTAAGGTAATTTGTAAATGCAGTAACCGTCCTGGCCAGCGCCCTAGAAAGGCACTTTCAGACACATCCTCACAGCTTGGAAGTTAAAAGTGAGTCAGTCCTGCAGCGTTAATTACCGGGAAACAACCTAAAGTGTGTCTTCCACGTGGGCCTGAGCCAGCCAGAGATGGTTCTCAGTGTTGGTGAGAAACTTTGCAGACGTCAGGTACATAAAAAGCTAAGTTGCCATGTGTGGGACATATTGATGGAAACATCAAGAGAAATCATTTGCAGCATCCACAGTGAGAAATGAGGAGAAAGGCCTAATTCAAAGAACAGCTTTTTTAAAACATTGAGTTTATTGGGGTGACATTGGTTAATCACATTGTATGGGTTTCAGGGGAACAGTTCTATGATGCATCATCTGGATACTGTGTGGTGTGTTCACCGCCGGAGGTCGTCCCCGTTTATCCCTTCATTACCATCTTCTGCCACCCCCGCCCCTGACTTCCCTCCAGTAACCGCCGTACTGTTCTCTGTGTCTATTTTCTTTCTATTCTTTGTCTAATCCCTTCACCCATCTCCCCCAGCCCCACCCGACCCCACCCCCACCCTACCAGCTGTCAGTCTATTCTCTGTCTCCACTGTGGCAAAAGGGTCCCCAGCCTCCCCGAGAGGAAAGTCCTCCGCTCCTCAGACACTGCAACCTATTCCCCAAAGTAGAAACCATACCAGCTTCTTTGCAATGCTGGTATATGTACCCTCTTTTGTTACATAAGTGGGAATAATTTTAGAAACCAAAAATAAAATTAAAGCCAGAACACACACACACACACACACAAAAACGTGCTTTCTCCACTGGTGCTTCAGAACACGGCGTCACCTGACATGGTGACAAGGAGGGATTCGAGACCAGAGATGGGAGAAAACTCGGAGGGATGGTTGTCTCCACTTTAATGATCTGAATCGAGGAAAATGAGAACAGAGGAAACCTTAGTGCGACAGAAAGGTGCATGCACTGAGGGCTGGACTGGTAAAACAGCTGCTGACCTGTAGTTGGTGGTGAGCATACTTGTTCGGCTTTGCTTTAGCACAGATGCGTCCAAGTGTCCTGCCCCTCCCACGATTATTCAAATGCACAAGTATCTCAGTCCCCAGGCTCAAAATGTCTAGGAGAGAGACAAAGCAGTCACCCAGGTGACAGACTGTTCGCCCCGGTCGGATTGCTGACACCTGTTTATTGTAAATTTCTTCCCATGTTCATGTGATAAAGTGATTTTCCACGAGGGTGCCTTTCCAAAGTTTCTAAATAAACTTAGTAAACCAGAGATGAAAATGGCAAGCCTCACAGCGGACATTGTAGAGTGGACCCATTTGAACGTCCATTGCCTATAACCGAGTTGGTGACACTTCCTTTAACAGACATGGTGTTCATGTAAATGTCATGGTAATGTCCACAAACTGCATGAGAAACAGTACTGCCCTTCTAACGGGTGGCTTAGCACCACCCTGCAAGAGCACAGGTGGCTGTGCAAACCATACCGTTGACCCATCTGGACTGGCTCCATTTGCAAGATAAAGTCCCAGCTGTGCGTTGTCCCGTAAACTGGGTCAAGAGGAGAAAGACACTGGGGAGCCAGAGGTGTGTGTCTCTGTGTCCCTTTTCAAATAACCCAAGGTTGCTCCTCTTGGTGTCTGGAAGAAGGGAAGTGTCCTTGTCTCGTGAGTATTGCTTGAGTAGACCACATGCCCGATAAGTTCTAGCATCTAGGAGCATGCAAACAGCAGCTGGAATTAGCTACGCAGTCAAGGAACTATTAGGGTGTAATTAGTGTGCACAGCGATGTTCTTAATGGTGAAGAGAAAAGCAGAACTCGCTCTCCTTTGCAGCTGCTAGGCACAGAGTTCAGAACTGCAATCACACCCCTAAGGCAAGTAAGTGGATTGCAGGAGAGGGTTGCAACAAGTGTGCATGCTTGTACAGAAAACGCGAGCCGGGCACCCAAAACAGGAAAAGCCTCCCGTGTCCTCAAAATCCCATCGCTGGCGCAGAGCATCAATCAGCACAATGCAAACGCCTCACTCTAACATTCAACGCCACTTAGAAGTGAGGAAAGGACTGTAAAACAATATATCTGGGGTTATTTTTTTCCTCACTGGCTATGATTCTAGCTCATTCGGGGATGGTTTTGCTTTATAAAAAAAAAACCCTTTTTTAAGAATAAAGGGGGTGAGGTCTTCATGGCCAGTCATACTGGGGTGCACACCTGCCGCTTCATTCTCCGGGTGAACCCTTGAGGATGGGGTGCTTTCTGAGATACACGTGAAGTATGCATCCCTTTATCCACAGTATTCCCTGCGGCTCATGCTGATTCAGGGCGCTTCACGCATTTCTTAAGACGACGAAGGTGAAAGGGTAACGCGTTATCCCAGCTCTTTTTCCCAAAACTGTTGAAATGCATTAACTGCTTCTTTTTAAATGTCAGTTTGCAAGTTCTCAAAGTCAGTGTCTCTGTCTCTCTCGCTCTCGCTTTCTCTGGTGTTTTGACGTTGGGAGTCTCTAAACCACAGAAACAAGGGGTAAAAATCAGGTGGCCGCCCAAAATGACTTCGGGACCCCATTCAGGGAGAGACCTTGGTTCGCGTATCCCCCCTGGGGGTGGAAGGAGAGATCTTCGCACCAGTTTTCTGGGCTTCACGCAGGAGCCTCGGGTCAAGGGACCCTTTCCGAGAGCGGGAGGCGAAGGGGGAGCCAGGACACTGGGAACCGAGACTCTCCGCCTCCCCGGGTCACCACTGCTGGCCCGCGGCGCGGGGGCCCAACGGCGCCTGGGACACTGCGGGCACGGCGGGCGCCTCACTCACGCCGGGCAGCACGGAGCGCACGGAGCGGCGGAACTCCTCGTTCCTCCAGGTGTAGAGCAGCGGGTTGAGCGCAGACAGCGCGCAGCACAGGAGCCAGCTGGCCGCCTGCACGCCCCAGGGCACGGGCAGCGCAAGGCCGCTGGCCAGGCTGACCCACACGAGCGGCTGCGTGGCCAGCAGGAAGACGCAGCACAGCAGCAGCACCGACAGGCCGCTGAGCCGTCGTTGGACGCGGCGGGGCTGCAGCGGGGCCGGCAGGGGCGGTGTGGACGCGGAGAGCGCGGGGAGCGCGGGGGCGCCGGGGCCGGGCGCGCGCGGGGCCGTGGGGAGCGCGGCGGCGGCGGCCGCGCAGCCGGGCAGCTGGTGCAGCAGGTGGAAGTTGAGCACGCTGACCCGCTTGACGCTGACGCGCACGCGGCGCACGATGCCCAGGTAGCAGTGCAGCAGGAGAGCCGTCTGCGCCAGCAGCGCCGCGGCCGCCAGCAGCGCGGGGTAGTGCACGCCCGGGGCCGCGGGGCCGGGGCGCGGCGCCCAGGGCGGCAGCGCCAGCACGAGGCCCAGCGCCAGGGCCCAGGACAGCGCCAGCATCCCCGCCGTGTGGCGCCGCTGGTACAGCGCCTGGTAGGTGGCGGGCGCCCGGGTGATGAGCAGGTAGCGGTTCAGCGCCACGAGGCAGTGAGACAGCAGGGACACGGTGAGGCCCAGGCCCAGCAGCGCGCCCCGCAGCAGGCGGTAGCTGCCCCCCGCGCCGTCCCAGCCCCCGGGGGGCCCGGCCGCGCTGGCCGGCAGCAGCCCCAGCACCGCCTCCTGCGGCATCCAGAGGGCGCAGACGCTGAGGTCGGCGGCGCACCCGTTGACGATGAAGGCGTTGCTGGTGGTCTGCAGCTTGCGGAAGGACGACACGAGGTAGATGACCATGCCGTTGGCCAGAGTGCCCCCGATGGCCAGGCCGGAGTACAGGAGGGACACCGGGATGCGCCGGCCCGCCCACGACCCCTCTTCCTCGCAGAGCAGCAGCAGCGACCCCCCGGCCGTGGAGGACGCGGACTCGGAGGAGGAGTTGGTCATCGTGGCCAGCGCTTCACACCTCGCCGGCTAGCGCGGGCTCCTGGCGGCGCGGCCCATGCCGACGCCCGCCTGCAGGGAGGGCAAAGACGCTCTTCAGCCTTCTGCCAGCGACACAAAAGGCTGCAGCGGGAACATGGGCTGGGGGAGGGGGAGAGGCAGCCAGAGGAGACGGGGGTGGCAGATGACAGGTATGCGCCTGGGGAGTGTCTCCCGCCCCAGGGAAAGGCCTCTGCACTTGGCAGGCACCAGCGGAGCCCTGGGACAGAGCAGTGCTGAAAAGAGCCTCCTTCTGCCCCACAAGTCCATGCTCACACACTCACACACTCACACTCACACGCATGCTGGGGAGCACTGCCAGGTGGAGCCCGGCGTTTCCAGGAGAAAGTAGTGGTAGCTCAGCAAGGGGAAAGGAGCTGGGGGTACCTTACTTTGGGGCTGGTCCTCAGCTGGCAGTGGTGGAGAGATGCCAGGAAGTACCTCCTTGTTCGTTAAGCAGCATCTGTGGTCCCGAAATCAGCAGGACAAACTCAGCGGGGGATCAGTGCCAAAAGCAAGTGCCCATGTCTCCCAAGCAGCTTCCAGGCACATGGTCCCCGGCAGACAGCAGCAGCAGCCAGCCGCTGGGAGCCTCGGCAGCCTGCAGGCGCCCGGGAGATCCCTCGGGCTGCGAGCCCGGCTGGTGGGCAGGAGCCAGGCGGCAGCCAGGATGCTCGTCTGCACAGCAGGCAGAGGCTGAGCTCCCGAGAGCAGCACCCACCCTGAGCTCAGAAGCGAGAGGGGTGGCTGACAGGGTGAACCCACTCGAAGCTCTCGCCTGCTTAGTTATCCATCACCTGGGGAGAAGGCAGCCTTTCCACGCAGCATGAATTATTCAGCAGCTTCCAACTTGTGAAAGGAAAAGGAATATCTTGCTCCCCAGTCCTGTAATTAACAAGTTTCTCTGCCTTCTCTCTCTCTCTCTCAACCACCTTATTTCCCACCCTGCTTCATTTGTCTTTGTCCCCCCACCACGCCCCCGCCCCGTGGATGCTGGAATAAAACTCACTAACCCCAGTGGTCCGTTCCAGTGGGATGCACTCTGGGGTCGAGTTTTTTCTTGGGCATAATCCACTCCCAGGACCAGGGCTGGCCCCTCCATACCACATTTTCAGAGAGAATTACTTTATACCCAAATCGAAATTTATTTTTTTTCTTTGCTGTGGTGGGACATGGGTGATGATCCTCAGAAAACCTTCAAGTCTCAGGTTCAATCCATTTTTATTTTTCTCATTGCCAAGCTCCTTTCAGAGTCTGCCTAGTGTTTGTTTCAGCCAGGAAAGGGTTGGAGGGTGAGAACCAGGAGGAGCAGGGGAACCCAGGAGCCCGGGGAACCTGTGGGGCGCACACAGCAGCCCCTCCTCGGGGCCGTTCCCCAGTGGCTGGTGGTCCAGGTCCTCAGGTCCACGGTCTGGTGCCTGTGGTGAACCATTCCAAGTGGGAAATGCACCCCCCAGGGAGTCATTTTTCACCGGGAAAATCATTACTTTGACAATTTAGCTCAATATGGACTAAGGTAGGGTGGCATTATAGAAACATTGCTGGGCCGGGTGTCAGGACACCCTGGTTCTGAGCTGTGATGGGTCACTTTCATCCTGTCAAATGCGAAGTTCCCACTCAGTGACCCTGACCGGCAGCACCAGGGTTGCTAGGAAACTCGATAGAAAGGATTGGGACCCAGTGAGTCAGAGTTGCTGATGATGGGCCCGGAGCGCCGAGTTTTGGCGAGCCCTCCAGGCGGCTCCCGTAGGCGTTGAGGTTTGCCGGCCACCGCCGCAGGCTGCCATCCTTGGTGTCTGGGCCGACGCTGTTTCTCCATTGCCGCATCTTACCCCATCCTTTCCTGTCCACCCACCTCGCTGCCCCACGTCCGCTCCAGGTGCTCTGGGGACCTGCCGTCCTGGCTTGTGCGCGGTCTCTCCTCTCCCTCCCGTGCAGGCACCTCCGTGGGGGGGGGTCAGAGCATGCCGTTCCCTGGCTGCCCCTCCATGACCTGCCCCCAGCCAAGTGCTCCTCATCTTCCAGGACTGGGCTCAGACACCACCTCCCGCACGGGGGCTCTCGATCCCCAGGGTGGGTTGTCCAGCCCGTGTGTCCCCAGAACACCTGAGGGTACCCCTGCCACCGCCAACTTTCCACGTGAGGTTTTTCCTCCCCACGTGGTAAGCGGGTCCAGGGCAAGGCTCCCCTTTGCATCGGAGTGCCTGGCACACAGTGAACTCTCGAGAGGAACAGCCAGCGACAGAGTCATCCCACAGAGCCCTATTACTGCCTTTTCCAATGTCCGCTAAGCCCTGGCCCAGTGGCTCAGTTGGTTGGAGCATGATCCTGTGCACAAAAGGTTATGGTTCTCTTGCAGGTCAGGGCACATCCCTAGGTCATGGGTTTGATCCCTCCTTATGGCACCTGGGGGAGGCAACCAATCGATGTCTCTCTTTCTCTCTCTCCCAAACAAAAAAAAATCAACAACCATATCTTCGGGTGAGGATTAAGAATAAATTAATAGCCATGGCTGGTGTGGCTCAGTGGATTGAGCGCCAGACTGCGCAGGAAAGCGTCACTGGTTCGATTCCCAGTCAGGGCACATGCCTGAGTTGCAGGTCTGGTCCCCAGTAGAGGGCACATGAGAGGCAACCACACAGTGATGTTTCTCTCCCTCTTTCTCCCTCCCTTTCCCTCTCTTTATTTAAAAACAAATCATCTTTTTTAAAACTTTAAAAAACGAATTGATAAAATGCTCTAAAAGCTTCATGTAACCACATCTTTATGCTGCACGACACTGAATTATTGTTAAACAGCTTTTGTTAACAACGCCCACTGGATTCATTTCCCTCGCCCTCCCTTGCAAGAGCCAGTGCGGACTTTCCTAGTACATGATTTCATAATCCACCAAAATACGGGGCAGCAACTGGCTCCCACTCTCGGGGACAGTGAGGGGCACTGGCGGCAGGGTCTGGTGAATCACCCAAACCCGCCTCCTGCAGCCGAGCCACCAGCCTGCCTGAGCACAGCCTGGGGTGTTAGCAACCTCCCGTCGGATGCAGCTGCAGTTCCTCGGCTCAGTCCCTCGGGGCTAACACAGCCGAGTTCATGTTGGCACGCGCCTGCTTAGATGGTAGGAGAGGTTTTCAGGAACACGACCGGCTCTGTCTTGTGTCAGAACCAAACGTAGGAGCAATTCAAGGCTGTGAGAGCAGCTGCCTTCCAAAGAGCTTTGAGAAGTGATGACTTGAGAGAAGCAGGAAGCTGGAAATGACCTGCAGTCTGTTCCGTCCCGAAGCCCTTTACCTGGGGTGCGTGAGCTGCGGGAGTGACGGCTCCCAGCTTTGCTCCTGCCCCATCAGAGAATCTCTGGCCTCCCCCTGACCCCACCACCCCAGTGACGGTGGCCCACTGGGTGATGCCCGCCAGGGAGGGTCCTATGATTGTGGCTCTCAGCTGGGGCCGGGGGGGTGCCATCCAGGCTTCTCATTTTGCAGAAAAGAACATCAAAACCCAAAGACAGTCGACGACTTACCCCAACTCACACACATAGTGATGGACCTGTGCCTTGGGCTAGGGTGACCCATGGCACTGACACAGGTGGCCCCTAATGTCCACTTCATAACAAAATAATGTAATAAACACCCTTCCTCATTCTGGGCCTACTAAATTGTAAGCCTCCACATTTGTCTTTCCAGCATTTATTAAACTGTGATCTTCGATCTCCTGCAAGACAACTACCTGGGTCTGGACCGGGGCTGCTGTCAGGGCCCGGGAATCTGCATTTTACCAGCCCCTGAGGAGCGGACCTCTCTACGCCAGTACTGGAGACGCACAGGCGGGGGGTGTGCAGACTGCCCTTGGCTTCCGAGTGTCAATTTGTGCTGTTGCCAAGGCTTGTCTTTTCTGAACTGCATTTTCAACTTTTCCAGGAAAAGCAATTTGAGCTAAATTGCTTTGGCATGGTCTCTGCCCAGAAGGGACCTTTTTTCCAGTAAGAGGTTTAATATCATTTATTTTTTTTCAATCTGCTTAAAAATTTTTTTTCTGTCAGGGATAGGAACTTGCTAAAGAGATCATTTCGTGTTTTGAAGCAGTCAGGAATTATTTTTAGTCGTTTAAACGAAGAAATCAAATTAATTTTGAGAGCTCTGTGAGTGTATATTGACTGTCCACGTATCATTGATGGAGAAAAAACATCGTACACCTTTGGGCACTTGTCTTTAATTAGAGTTAAGTAGAGCTGACAGGATCCCAAACAAAATACAAGGGAAAAAAATCTAAGAAACTGTGTAATTTTCAAGACTAAATTAAATTGATTGGGAAACAACCCAGAGCCACTCCTCGAAGCAAAATGACGCCTGCTTAGAAAACTACATGCTCTCTTCCTCCTGGGTCCTCCTTAAAGTTTAGCAAGTTTGGATCCTGCCGGAGTGGGAGTCAGCACTGGCCCTGCGGGTCTGAAGGTGGTCGCTTCCATTCCTGGCCAGGTGAACGCGGTCAGGTCTTTAATGAGCACGGGATTCCCACACCTCCCGCACCTCCTGCCGCCTTCAAAGCCGCCTCTCCCACCAACACCTGCTGCTCCCTCGGCCACACCCCTTCCTCCAGCGCTTCCGGGCTCTCTCCTGCGACCGTCTGCATTCTCCAGGAAAAGCGTGGCACCGGGCTGGACGGCCATCGTTTCCGTGTCTGTGTCCCTCGGAAGACCGTGAACTTGACGGTCTTAACTTCCTATCTGCAGCTCCTAGCAGCTCCTCGCACTCTGCTGAATGAATGGCTATCAATCCAACAGCTTTGTGAGCTCTGTGGGTCAGTGGGAGTTATTTTTTCCTTTCTCGTCGTGTCCATTCTTGCTAGACAGGCAAAGACCCCGAGAGCAGCCCACCAACGTCCCGCACCCCTGTCTGCTAAAGCTTCTTCCAAGTTCTGCTTCCAGCCCTGTGTTGGCCCCAGACTTCAGTTCGATTCCAGACCTGACGGCTAAGGGTCTTGCCATGAAAATGAAACCTGTGGAGCGTTTCATTTCTGCAATACTCAGAGGAAATAAAAAAGAATAATAAAAGTGGAGTGCAATCAAAGGGCCCAACCTGTGCCCGAGTCGGGGACCCAGGATAGGGTACAGAAGGCATGCGACCTCACGGGAGGAAGTCGAAGCTCTGCAGGAGGAAGGGTTACGCTTCACCAAACCCAAAAGCCGAGAGAGGCTCACCGAAAAAGGTGGGAAGCCAGCTGAGCGAGAAAAGGATTGGCTGCAGGTGGCCCTGACGGGTGTAAAAGGAGCCTTAATAGCTACCCCACGAGATGTTTTCACCCGGCCGGCCCAACTCTTGGAGCACTGAGAACACTTGTACAAAAACAAGAAAACACCCAGCATTTAAGATGTTCAGAGTCTTAAGTACAGAACATGCTTCGGACAAAAAGAATCCACAAGTCGAATCTGTTTTCGCATCTCCTTCAGGTGAGTAGATTTGAGGGGGAGGAGGATTTGGGCCTTTTGCTCTAGACAGCTCTGATTTCTATAAGAATTATATTCCCTTCAAAGGAAAAACAAAATGCAGACTTACAACAGGATATGCTTTAAGTAAAATGTGTCATTAAATCGGATCCTAACGCTAAGTCAGGTATCTTCCTGCCAGAATCTGAGCCCAATAAAACCAAGAGGACAGTAACATTTGGAAAAGAACTGCTCAGAGTTCATTATTAGGATAACGCTGAAATGTATATGAAAACTTCCCTAAATCGCCGGCTTATTAGAGGCTGCGCAGTGTTGTGTGCATGCAGGAAGAGAAGCCTTGCCCAGTGGAAGGGGCGCAGGCAGGTTGCTGTGGAAACATCAAACCTCCCCGCTGTTTGGCCAACATGTCTTCAACATGGCACTATAACAACTTTTTTTTTTAATTTCAAGAATTTAATTTTTTCCCATCAGGTCACAGCATGTGCATTCTTCGCTTTTTAGAGATGTTCCACGCTAGCCGAGAATAGCAAGAGATTATTAATGCACAGACATGTCTCTAAGATTTCCTGCCTTGAAACATGCTCTATTTTCAAAGCAATTAAGCATTTTAACCACATTTTTTTCTAGGCCTACCCACGTGTGCTTCAACCCCAAGCTTTAAAGTGCTGAGTACCCTCCCGGCCAGGTGGCTCGGTTGGTTGGAGTGTCGTCCCATAGGACAAAAAGTTGTGGGTTCGATTCCCAGTCAGGGAACAACTTGCCCAGGTTGCGGGTTAGATCCCCAGTCCAGATATACACAGAAGAAGCAACTGATCAATATTTCTTCCTCACAGTGATGTTTTTCTCTCTGCCCCTTCCTCTGTCTAAAAAATCCAATAAACATGTACTTGGGTGGTGATTACAGGGGGGCAGGGGGTGTAAGGGGACTCGTTGGTAATAGAAAAAAAATTTTACATAAAATAAAATGCTGAGTATGTCCTGCTTGGGGTGCTCCCGCACTTAGTCTCGCTGGGTGTCCCTCACAGCAGCCAGGCCGTATGTGACGGAGGCTGTTCGGCTACGTGAAATGCAGCGGAGAGAGTAGGAAATGGGCCATGGCCTTGGCCATCCGTGTGTTTAAACCCGGGCCGTCCCACTTGCTGGCTGTATGACCTTGGGCAAAGCTCCGTGCTCCACATCTGCTTCTTCCCCTAGAACTTCCCATCGCAGGGCTAGGTAGTAAGGCAGCGAGTAGGTTTTCCTCGTGGATTCACAGTACTTTGTGCATTGTCTGGCTTAGGGTAATCACTCAAAAGGAAAAAAAAAGTATTTCTAACATTCCCCCGAGGTCTGCAGATACCGGGCTGCTAATCTGAGGTCACGTGAGCTGCTGAAATGTCTGGCTCACGGGTCTTTTCCTGAGAACATTCTGTCTGGGAGCCCCGTCCAGGGCAGCTCGACCTTGGGGTCCGTGAATGGGCCGTGACCTCTGTGACCCTCACTGCACAGGCAACCCTGCCGCTTTCTTAAGAGTGTTTGAAACGTCTTGATTTTTAAATTTTTATTTGCTCTCATTTTAGATTATTCTAACTCATTGTTTGAAAACCGCCATTCATGAATAGTATTATTTTGTTGTATTTTATTCTTCTTATAAATTGATTTTAGAAAGAGGGAGGGAGGGAGAGAGAGACATCGATTTGTTGGCCCACTTATTGATGCATTCACTGGTTGATTCTCGTATGGGCTGTGACCAGAGATTGAGCACATGACCTTGTGGTATCAGGACAATGTTCCAACCAACTGAGCTATCCAGCCAGGGCTTTTATTCTTTTGATTTGCCTTCTACTTTATGTTAAGCAGTTCATCAATTTATAGTGCATATATTTTATTATTTTATTTCATATATAGTTTAAGTACATCCTTTTTAAAGCCTCCATGATGCCTTCATTTTTATTGCATTCATTATGTTTTAGCTTTAATTTCTCCATACTTCTTCCCTTATATATTTTTGAAATTGCAATTTCTAAAAATTATATGAACCTATACTAACAAAATGGTAGGACAAGGTCATCTATTAAAGCGAAGAAGATTCAAGGATCTTTTCCTCTTCCAGGTGGCCCTGGAAGCGATTGGCAGATTGGCGGCTCCCGCTAGTGGCACGTTCCCTGTGACGAGTATCGTGTTTGGGACCAGAAGCTGTACCACTTCCGAGTTTACCCGTGAAAAACAACAGAAGCCGGAGCCCTGGCGCACGCGGCGCCTGGCGGCCCAGAGCTCCTGTCTCCCGCTCACAACTCCTCCTCTCCACGCGGCAGTCTCCTGATGGCAGGGACCGGAGTCCACTTCATAAGGTAAAGCTGGGAGTCCATTCGAATGGGCTTTTGTTCCTACAGAATCAGCTGGCTGAGATACAGAGTGCCCCAAAAAGATGGGTATCCTTGGAAAGGCCTGCATGCGAGGTCGCCCTTGGCTCACCCCTGGGAGCTTGGCCGGTACAAGCTCCCACGCAGGTACCCGACTGCCCCTAATGACAATTCAGTTCAGCTGCGCCGCCCCGCGTCCGAGAACACGTGCAGGTTTAGGTACAACACCTGCTTTCCCACCTGGAGTCGGGTTGCGGTGTACGACCGGTAGAGGGCGCTGCTAGGACCACCCGCAACTTAAAAAAAAATAATTAAGTTTGGGTGCTTCGTTGTCTAATGAGCTTCACTGGTGGACAGCAGGTCACATGGACTGTCACCACCAGTTGCTGAAGGAGGGACCCCTCCATGACCCCTCGGGAGAGGACGCTGGGCAGCCGGAGCCTGGGCCCTGCAAACCTCACCCCATAACCCCTTCCTTCCCGGGACTCGTTTTGCTGTTGTACCCTTTCGCCGTGAGCAGTCTCAGCTGGGAGGGCGCTTATTCATTATTACTGTTAGTGTTGCTATTATTTTGTGGTAAGAACCCTTCGGGGGGTTCTTGGTGCCCACCCTCTTAGCAAATTAGGCGGAGGGCACAGTTTCAGGCACGCACAGGCTACTCTACGGCGCGCGTGGCGCCTGGAGCTCACGGCAACGTACTGCTTTATTCTTAAGCGTCTGGGCAGCAACAGCCCCAACAAAGAGTCCCAGAGCTGTGACTGAGGTGTGTACTTCGTGTGAGTTTGCCCGGATGGAAGGGACAGCCACCCTCCTCCGAGAGGCCTTTTTACCTCGGCTTTTAAGTCCCAGAATCAGTTGCCTCGAAATTTGTGCCCAGGGGTGGGGCTGGGCTGGGAGGAAAAGGCAGAAAATTGTACTTAAAATTTTGAAAAAAGGCAAAAAAAATTGTGCCAAAGGCCCCCTTTTACTGCATTCTTGGAAGCCATCTAAGTCCTTTGGAAAGAGGGCCATCATATAAATAAATAAAGATACATTTGTAGAAAGAGAGAAAAAGGAGGTGTGGGGGGTGAAGGGAGATGAAGAAGTACAAATTAATTGTTGCCAAAGAGTCATGAGGATGTAAGCACAGCATATAGTCAATAACATTGCCATAAGGATGTGAGGTGCTGGGTGGGGACTCAAATTAAGGGAGGGATCACTTGGTCGCCAATATGAGTGTGTATGTACTGTAGTGTGACCTGAAACTAATTTTAAAGTGTTGAATGCAAACTGCAGCCAAAATTAAAAATGAACTAAAAGGAAAATATATATATATTTGCTGGACCCTTACCCTCAATCTAAAGTTGAATATAAGCGAAACGTGGCAGCTGGTCTCCTTTCTATAGCCACTCCCTTGTCCTGTTTGCAATCGACTTTTTAAGAAGCCTCTGGTCAACTTGCATCAGACCAGAGGAGAAGGAGGAGCCAGGTGGGGGTGTAACTCATCTCTGCTTTGGGGATGGGCAGGTTAACGCAAGACCTGGTGAGCGAAAAGGTCTGTGCACTTACATGTACCAGCTCAAAATCATGTGATCTGCATTAGAAGTAGGCTTTCAATATAAGTTCCTACTTGCACCCAGCAAAAAAAAAGTTGAAATTTCTCTAGCAAAGCTATTCTTCTCCTCAATATGATTATCATAATTTGATCCATAGAGAAGCAACTGAGTGGGAATATATTATTCTTTCAATTCAGCTCAAAATAACTTCATACCATTTTCTGCTTTCCTTGAAACCTGTGGGTAAGTAAAGGACTTTCATCTCACAGTGCAAATTACATCTCGCCGTAGTTGGAAATCTCCCTAATTCGTCTTTGGAGGAGACATTCAGTGACCAGCTTTGCTGAGCAAGGTCAGGAAGACTGCAAGATGCAGCATCGTGAGCTCTACCCACAAGGGCACCTCGGGGGAAGAACACACCCTCCTAGGACCCAAAACACCTGAGTCCTGCTCAGCTTATGAGCCAACCACTGGTCTGTGAAGGAACTTGAACATGTGACTCAGCATGTCACCGAGGAAAGCATACAAGAAGATCAATTTTGAAAATGCGTTTGTAGAGCTTAGTGTTGGTGAATTTGTGTTCCTGCTGCTGCTTGAATCACAGCTAAATCCATGTATTCCTTCGCCTCTTCAAGTGTTTTGACGTCTACAGGTAAGAAAACCTTGTCAACTCAATGGCCAGTAGGTGAGAAATTCATTGGTCCTAGTTGATTTTTTTTTTTTTTTTTTTTTTTGCTAAGAACTAAATCTGTTGAAAAAGACTTTCTGCCCTTTTAGACAGGTTCATGAATTCACAGGAAATCTCCTTAGGATGTAGTCAGATGACAACCTCAGGACCCAACTGTCCCAGGCAGTGTGTGAGGACAGCTAATTGGCAGATTCCCAACTCCGGAGATGAAGCTATCTCGCCACCCACGACCTTTCTCATGTGTTCCAAAAAAGTTTGAGACAAAAGAGAAAGGATGAACCTCCAAGCTATCACAACCCAAAGAGATCCAGTTCAATACATACAATATCTCCCGTGATTCTTCTTCCCAAACTGGCTTCTTTCCAATGTGTCTTAGAGTAAATGACCAAGTAGAACCCCAAATGCTGACCCGTGACCATTGCTTTAGTAACAGAAAGGAAAATGACACCATCTGAAATTCACAGTATACGATTTCTTAGGGCTCATTGTTGTGGATTGTAGGAAATGACCTCGCCCTGGAAAGCCAATGAAAGATGAACCGAAAATCCGGAACGGCAACCTTGAGGAACTTGATGGAAGGCACCGACCATATTGGGTCAAATATAAAATCATAGACTTCAGTAAGTACCCTAGTACTTCAAAGCCCAAATGATCAAAACCAGGGAAATGTGAATTGCATAAAACTTTTATTATTTATTAGCAGTGTATTCTTCTACACTTTAAAATAGAACAAAATATCTTTTGGAAAGTTAAACTATTCATAACAAAATACATGTCAAACAATTTTTATTATTGCAGTAGAATGACTTTTCTATATACTTTCTATATTATATACATACACTTCTTGGTTGGTCTATGTATGCACATGTGTATAAAACTTTAAGACATACACACGTAGATACATATGACCAACACACACATACCAGGAGGCCAAATTTACAGTAGTCAATTTCACAATCATTTCAATAGCTGCACACATATTAGTGTTCACAGAACTAAAATCTCTGTGGTTCCCTTTCCACTTCTCAAATGTCATGTAAATTACTTGTCAATGATCATTTTTTAAAAAATACTATCATCGGCCTACATAATTCACCAACTTTTTTTTTACAATAACTCATAATAAAATATTTCACTATCTCAGCTTCTAAAAAGGTAGACAATTTAATTCCACAAGTTTTGATCCCTAAAACGTACATCTTTTTATGAACTTAGTGCAATTATTTGGTGCCGTTGTGCTTGAAGGTTCAGTCAACCAACCTGAGTCAAACATTCATTCAAAGGCCTGTTTAAACATGTAAAACATCCAGAAGGCTGTGTGAGTCTCGAGGTACTCTCTCCTAATAAATACATTATAAATAACCCAACGGGTGAGAGTGAAGCACTTCATGTGAATCCATTAAGCGACGTGGAGAATCGGGGTTTAGGGCTCCCCAGCTCCCCACAGAAAGGAAGCCTCTAGGCTTGCAGAGGCCTGAATGTAAGACCACGCTTCCATACAAGTGCCACAGAGGAGTCCCTTCATTTCCACGCTGGGTTTCTGATAGGCTAGCTCTGTGCCAAGGTTTCTCATCCCTTGGAAGCATGCCTCCTTTAATACACAGAACCACTTAGCAGCAGCCTTTTCAGTTTTTTCCCCTCGTGGAGTGAAAACCAGCGCCTGCCCACGTGAGATCACCGGCAGCCACAGGCTCGTACCACAAGCAGAAAACTCCTAGGGGCTGAAGAGCCCTTTAGAGAGCAGGGAAGAAACAAAAGCATCTGGAATGTTGAGTCATTTCGTGGAGGACACTTTCGGGAGAGACGTTCAGTGACTCCTCATCTTCCATGCGATGTTAAATGGTGCTAAGGCCCCCAAAGGTGCAAAGCTGAATGGGCTCAGCCAGGAAAGCAAAGGGGGAGGAAAATGGTCTCCAGGAGCCGGATCCAGCGACGCTACTCTTGCTCGAGGTAAACTGGGAGAAACTCCATGCGTCAGACTGAGTTCCTGAAGGAACAAACTGCCCCGCCACCTTCGGAGTGGGGATGTCAAAACCACTTTCTCAAAACTCTCCCTTGCTTTTTCTTAATAGAGAGGAATTTATGTATTATTCATTGTAGACAAAACCATCCTAACCAAATCCAAAATACAAATTTTTGGTAGCAAACAGCAAGAAAATCTAAGTCAAAATATAGTCTTTGTCGTAATTTTATATATTTATAAATTTATCAAAATAGGCTTTTGAAGTTCACCATACATACATAATGTAACACTGTACACGTAAATGTAATAACAGGTGTATTACCGCAATACATTAAAAATAACCTTTCAAAATACCAAAGTCAGCATGAAAACTGTCTTAAAAAGTGTGGATGAACAGAGTCTCAGTGCACGGACAGTGGTCGTGGACCGGGGCAGCCGGTCTCAAGTCTCTCGCGGGGTTTTAGTGCTGGCGGGAGTTTAGGGAAGAAGGCGGAGTGAGTCCTCCGGCCCGCAGGGGGCGCTCTCTCTGCAGTGCTCGTCCAGGCGCGTGTAAGAGCGGCTCCCACCGGAGTGGTGAGGTCTTAGTAATGAACATATTCGGACTGAAGGGACTGTGCAGGAAGACACACAAAGTGAGGTTACATTCCATCCCGCATCACACTCCTAGCACATCACACATCTTCCTCCTTCCACACCAGGCAGTCTGGGTCGATTTGATAAAAGATAAACTAAGGGGAAAAAATGAGGGAAATAAAACGCTGGCTAAGAATGAGATACTCAATGACAAAAGTCATTGCAAGAAATTTACCTTTTAAAGGGCTTACCGATTTATTAGCAGTGATGAAAGAGTAAGCATTACTTGAAAACTGGTAACACTAAATGTGTTTCCATGCTTTCGTGAACTACTGTGGAATTTTACTCAAAAGCATTTAATGGCACCAGTAACTAAACTGAAGATCACACTACAAGAATTTATTATACTTTTGAGTGTAATTGAATACATATCATCAGAATGCTAATGCTTCTAATGCCGTAGCATCAGGAGTCATTTAAATAAACTTCTGCAGAATAGGTGCATTGAATAAATAAACAGCTTACAAATCCCTTGCTTTGAAATCTGACCTTCAGACCCCAAAGCATTTGCGCCGCAGAGTCTGGCAGTCCCATAAAACAGTGGGCCAGTTTCCAAACAAGTCAACAATGCGAGGCCCACCCTTACCATCTTAGATAATAACCTATGAAAGGCCCGTGCGGGGACATAGACCGAGGAAGAGAGAATCGCCCGAACGGTTATTTCTGGGCAGAAACCGCAGTTAGAAGAAACGCAAGTCCGTCCGATGGCGACAAAATGACCTGCACGATCCCTCTAATCGGATTCCTGAGAACTGGATTCGCTCCCACCGGCCCTTTGCTCCTCCCCCAATATTTATTTTTCACTTTGGTCGGCAGCATTTTGTGACTTGGGCTTATCATTTCTGAGACTGGTCTGTTTTGTTGATGCCTCGGGGATCCGTACAAAGGAATCTGTCCACGTGGCAAATAATTTACAAAAGGATCTGAACTACCTTTGTTCAGCTTCAGAATCCCAGAGCTTTATGTCCTGTCATCGGCCACCGACTCAGTGAGTCTCTCCACCCCATGAGTCGAAAGGTATATGGTCCTGGTGCCCACCCCGGACAAAACATGTCTCAGACAGACGTAAAATGGACACGGGTGTCAATGAGAGATAATAATAGGCACAGGTGAGAGCCACACTGTGCACAAGCAAACGTTTAGGCGAGGACTTGTTGGGGACAGTTCTGGGGGGTGTGGCTCTCAAGGCTGCCCTTTTCAAGAGCAGAGGTGACGCGTTAAGAGCTCCTAAAAAAGAATGGAAAGGGGGTGGCAAGCCTCCCCCACGGGACGTGGTTTATGCCACAGCTTCAGAACAGGAGAGACGGCCAGGATGAGGGCGTTGCAGTGCAAACAGCCCCGACCACAGAGAGTCAAGGAGGAAAGACTCCGGGGAAGCCCATGAAACTGGTCCAGGGCCCCCGGCTGGCGTGCAGGCCTCCCTCCGTGAACAAAGGGAGACGAGACTTGGCCGAAGGAGGGACCTTCTCCTGGCGAGCTACCTAATCCACTCCACAAACAGTTACTGAGCACCGACAGTGTGCATCGGGCACGCGTGGATGAAAGTGCGACCCCCAAAGTTCTGGGAGCAAAAAAAAACACCCCATGGTTTCTTTGCCTGGCATAGAGAATGTCAAAAGACGTGAGAGGTCAGTAAAAAGGCCAGCCCATCTTTCTGACATCAGTATTGTTGAAACAAATGAGCTTTCTTTCATTTTCAATCTAAAACAAAAATCCTAGCAAATGGCCTTAGGGAAGAAAGAATTGTTAAGACCTACCAGGCCTTGTCGCTGAGGAAGCAATAGAAGTATTTTGACTGCGATATTTAGATTTCAGGCACCACGAGCTTACGTGAGGCGCTGTACTGAGGGCCCCTGCTTGGTTTACTTTCCAATGCACCTGTACCCTCAGGTGACCAACATCCCAGGAAACACAGGAGCCAGTTCTTAGCATTCTGAACCTTTTATAGTAAAAATGCACAGGTATTTGGCACTCCAAATGCTCTATCATTTCTGCTGTTGACCGTATTATTCAAAAAGTCACTGACTGAAGTAGAACTCTGGAATTCTTAATCAACTAGATATATTACTTAACAGGTCAATTATTCTGGTATAGATACATACTTAGTACCGTCAATACACCAGGCATAGTTCGGAACATTTTAGATGTGTTAACTCATCTGGCGCCCCAGACGACTCATTTTACAGATGAGTCAACTGAGGCACAGACCAATTAAAGTATATAACTTGCCCAAGGTCTTGCAGCCAGGCTGTTGCAGAGCTGGGGTGTGAACTCGCAGTCTGTGCCCCCACTCTCGCCACCCCAGCATAAAGCCTTGGGACACGGACACCGCCTGTCCCAGGCTCGCTCACAGTCCACTGTGCATTCTGTCAGCCTGGCGGCAGAATAATAATAACCCGAGGCATGATCCTGAGTGAGCGAGGAAACATTACATTACCAAAAGTAATGTAATATTTATTGCTGTAGAGGAGCTAATATACAATTAAAATTATGTCCAAGAAAACCAAATCCAACATTATTTTCAGGAGTATTCTGAAAATAAACTGTCTTTATAAAAACAGGCATGATTAAGTATTGTGATTAAAGTTTTCATTGTGCTTTGCCAATTTTTTTATTATTGCCATAAGAATGAATACCCAACGCATCTTAAATACTAAAAAAAAAATGGGGGTGTGGACCAGCAATGACAATGAAAACGAAGGCAGTGAGACTTGAGGCATAAATATTTTACAAGGCAGCCCTTATTTATATAATCCAGAGATTTTAATTACTCAAATACAATATTCAATTTCAGGTGACCAGGAAGTTCAATGGGGTGATAGTGAGTGAGCAGCAGTTCAAGTTCACCGTGAGTATATGGCATTTTTATGGTATGCACGCCATAATACAGCAATATGCAACCCGAAAAATTAAGAGTGAAATTAGCTCACACTTGCAGCCCCCAAAACTGTTATGTCAAAACATCAGCTTCCAGCAAGAAGTCTTGTTCCCGGAGAGCGGTTCAATTTGACACAAAACCAAGCCTCAGGTGAGGAGATCAAGACAAGTGGTTCTGTTCTGGAAGGAAGCCGCTAATCTGCGTTGGCAGACGTGGGCAGTGACTTTAAAAACGCAGCTCTTCCGGGGGTGTTTCTTTTTGAAACAGCCCATTTAGCTAATCATGGTAGAAAAACATCTAATAATGATAGATATAAATACCGACGGATGGTTAATCAGTAAAATTACAAGATGGCTATCTAAAACACAAAACTGTAAGGAATGCTGAAAGACTGAAGTCTTCGTCAGCAAATCAATGAAATGCTCTCTGCACGTGCAATGACCTTGAACCAAAGGGCCGCGTGACCCGGAATTAGTTTCATAATAGGTCAACATCCTGATTCAGAATCACCATGTGCTTTTGCCACACCCTTTTTTCCTGCATTTCCCCCTTTTTCCAAGTCCCTTAAGGGAGAAAAAAAATAGTTCGCTTGTTACCCTTGATTTGAGTTCTATCTACAGAGGCAGAAAGCACCTTAAAAAGTGTTTTGTTTTAATGGCATAGGTAAGTAAAGGTGGGGGAAGCACACGTTTGGCACTAGGATACCTTACACTCCGGTGTTTTATGTTTTAATGAGCAGGGACGGGAGAGAGGAATGCCGGGGGAAAAAGGTTTATCTGTAACTGCCTCTGCAGTCCCTGACTCTTTCGGGCTCTGTGGGCGGTTTGCAGCGTTTTAATCGCTTCTCAGTTAACGACACACAAAATGCGCGAGTTGCTAGTATCTCCACGAACGAACGTGGTTTGGAAAAAACCAAAAGGCTCCACCTTGGCTGGCACAGCCGCGTGTCTCTGGTCAAGCCAGGGGAGACACGACCAAATAATAAAACTGGCTAGAAAGAGATGCGCACGCTTTTCCACAGTGTTCCCCAAGCATTTCAAGGACCCCAAGAACAAGCCGGTTTGCGTTAACAGAAATGCCACATAAAATACCCGCTCACCTTCCTACAGAACTCTTAACAGAGTCCCTTTCTCCCCCGGGGGAACTAGATCTGCGCTTGTGAACAGTCACAAGAGCTCGACTGCTCAGTGGCCGATTGTTGACACGTTCCTTCGCTTGGCCAGCGTCGCGTGGGTGTTTGCAGTTCAGCTGGACACCAAGGTCACGTTGACCTTTCTCGAAGGCGGTCTAGTTGGGTTTTGGAAAGCCACACGGTCGGGGGCCATCCGAAACTAAACTGGACAAGGTCAGGGGGAGGCCTAACCTTCGTTCTGCATCTTTAGTGCCCCCCTCCCCCCGTGGCAGCCCTGGAATACTCCCAGCTCTGCCCCCCCCCACCCCGTAACAGCAAACAGTGTGAGCACTGCCCGTGTGCCCAGTCATCACCGCCACCCCGTCACCAAGATACTGTCACCACAGTCACAGGGACCCCCTCAAAGTACACCCTCAGATGTCTGTGGCACATTCACAAAACAAGTGTGCTGCCCTCTTCATCTTAAATAGGCCCTGCGGAACTGCGCAGGGTGCACAAAACCTCGGACCGCCCTTAGTTATTATCATCACTCCCACTGTTATCCCCCTGGTTAAGGGATTTGCAGAGGATGCTCCACAGGAAGTGGCAGAGGCAGGCTTCGAACCGAGGTCCGCCTGCCCCCAGAACCCAAGCCCTTCACCACGGAACAGAGGCTGCATCTGCTCCTGCTCCTGCTGCTGCTGAGGCAGCCTCCCCTCCTCTTCCTCCCGCAGTCACTGGGTTCCTAGCAGGCTCCTCCTGTCACCCCTTCCCCACAGCTGTCCCTGACCCTTCTTGGCAAAACAATGCCTCCTGCAGCTCCCCCCTCCTGTTTCAACACCTAACACAGCACACAGACGTGACCACATCATCAACGACACGTGCTTTTTGGAGTCAAACGGACCTACGTTCAAATCATAGCTCTGCTACAGTGTATTTCTGGCTCGATCTTGGGCGCAACATTTAACCCCTCAAACCCCCAAGTGATCAATCTCCGAAATGGGAGCACAGTCCTTACCCCCTTTCACTCAGGTAAACACACCCACCCATCCCGACAGCCATTCAGGAAATACTTGACGAGTGCCAGCTATGTGCTAGGCTCAGAGCTCACAACTGTACAAACCAGAGGCCCCGGCCCTGCCCGCCCGCAGCCGACGGCCTGGCCGGGGCTGCAGCCAAGCGAACAGATGACTGCAACGCACAGTGAGGAGACCCAAGACCAAGGCTGCGGGGAAGCCCCGGGGCCGACCTGGGCTCACGGGTCAGGGGAGGGCAGTGCAGACGCGCGTCCACCTCGGTGGGCGGTCTCTTCAAAGTAAAACAGGTCCTATACCCAAGACAGATACCTCAAGTGACCTCAGCTTAATAAGATACTTCCCCCCACCCACTGCATCGTCACAAGGCCCTTGTTCCAAAGCATTTGCAGCCGCCTCCTCTGGGTTCAGAGAAGGGGCACTGAGTTCTCACGGGGTCGGGGCGTGCAGATCACACCCGGCCCCTCGCTCTGCAAGGACCGACCTCGAGGCCAGCCGAGGAGGCCGGAAAAATAAAAACGGGATCTGTGTCTCAGCACCCCAACCTGGCCAGAAGGGTTCCTCAACATTCGCTCTTGTTTTCTGCATGATAGCAGTTCACGACAGACCGAGGAAATCATTTCTCCATTTTTTCTGGGGGCTGAGTTGCTGCAAAGAACGAGGGAGAAAGCGCAGCTTTCAAAAGAGACGCTAATTACAGCTTTTAAACCATTAGGCAGCTCCCCCAGAACACCTGCCACCCCCACCCCTAGGAGGTTCTCGAAGGTGCTGCCCCAGAGCCTCCCTGTGCTGCCGAGGGACTTGACAACACTGCTGAGTGACTTCCTCCTGCGGCTTTGAGGGCCGCAGGCCGAGCGTCTTCAGAAGCATTAGAGAGAAGGACGCCATTGTTTAGACCAGAAGCCCTCAGCTGTCAGAAGAGCTTGCACTGAACCAGCAGGACAGGAGCCTCACGGCCTCCTTTCTGCCACAGCGGACGGGGGTTTGCGTCCTAACTCGGACACTTTCTGCCCGAGAGCCAGCAGGGGTAGGGCTTGGCGGCTTCCCTCTCCAAAAAGACAGGGGGGTTTGTTTGTTTTTCCTTTGTTTGTTTTTAGGCAAAGATAAAGGAGGGAGAGCCAGCTCTCTGTTTCCTGGGAAGGTCAGAGAAAGAAAAACACCACTGTGCTGACCCCCCCCCCTTCCCGAATTTAGAAATGCTCGTCCCTCACAATCAAATGACAAATTCAAGAGGGAGAAGAGGGAACCAGCAGCAGCCGCCCACGCAGCCAATTAACTTTAAATTTAATTACTGGAAAATTACTCAGGCCAGAAAGGGGGAGGAGGAGGAGAAAAATGAGAAAACACAGACCGAGACCAAACTCACGTCATAGAAACATGGAGGGGCGAGGGAACCAACGACTGTCCAGATACAGAATTCCACGGGCAGGGAGGGGACCAGGGGTCCAGAAGACAGACCGCCACTCCCGTCCAGCCCGCCCGGCCGCCGGGCCCTGGTGTCCCGCCCTGAACAATGCCGGCTGCCCAAAACCCCCGCCGGGTGTTTGTGCGGCTAAGTTTCTCTGCGTCTAACGCTTCCTCTAAAAGGGGAAAGACTACGCTTGGGTCTAAAAGGAGAGTGGCCCTCACTCAGTGCATGAAAATGCGGACAGGACGCAATTTCTGCTGCAGAGTCCGTGGCCTCCGGACCTGGTTATGAAAACCTAAATACACCGTCGTTTCCCAGCTAAGCCACAGCCACTAGGAGTCAGGGTTCACTGACGCACGCACAGCCCTAACGCCGTGGGGTAATGTTTAGAAACATCCTTAGGAAAAAATCAGATGGGAAAATTACATGAGCCAGAAGAGGGACTGTGTGTGGACCTGCCCAGGGAGGGACTTGAAAGAGGCCGGAGACACGTGGGCATGTTCTTCAGTTCCACCACCAAACGTGTATGCACACACTCTCACACACTCATATACGTGTGCACACACACATGCACACCATTCACACGGCATCGTCGTGTTAGAAAAAAGTAGCTTCTAATCTGCCATCTGAGGAAAGTGGGTCCCACTCACGGTCACCCACGGGGTTACCGCTTCGCCCAGTGTGGGGGGGCAGGCACGCTGCCCCAGCGAGGCCCCTCCCCGCCCACAGAAACCAGCCTCCCCCTGGATAATCTGGAGGAGAAGAGCAGCGGGCACGAAGGTGACCCCGGAGCTGTGCTGAGCCTCGTGGGGAACTAGGGGGACCCCTCCCGTGGGTCTGCAGCCCCCCAGTCTGTGCGAGCTCTGTCTCCTGCCTTCCCTGTCCTTGTCCACTCAGATCAGAGCTCACATGCCCAGAGACCTCCACTCCCTTTGCTGAGAGTGATTGACAGCAGGGTGTGGACCAACAGACTCGCCCGATGGGCTCGCTGGGCATGAAGCGGGGGCCGGCGGCCAGCAGAAGAGCCCGTGGGCCGGGGCTGTTGGGAGAGCTCGCGTCCCGTCTCTAGGAAGAGGGCGGCTCACCCGAACCACCCTCCGGACACTTGCCTTCCCTGCCCCTCCACCCCCGTGAGCCTTCCTGGCCCCGAATTAATTCTGGGTCAGCTCCCTGCAGAGGCCACCGACTCCCGGGCATAGCGGCTGGTTCTGAGAAGCCATCGTCCCACCCTCCACACTCGCAGCCACCGTGGCGGGTGGGCAGAGGGATGGGAAACCTGACGAGAACCCGCCTGGGTCACTCGCACACCTGACCAAGGGGACAGAAGCGATTTCCTGCTCAGGGAAGCCACCAGACAAGCAGGGGGCGGAGGAGAAACAAGAGGAAGAAGAGCCCCGGTGGAAACTGGGCGTTTACTTGGCGAGGAGCCGGCGGCGGGGACGTGCCTAGACGGTGTCACAGCACAGAGGGCTCAGAAGGCCTCCTTGGTGCTGTTGAACTTCTTGGGCAGCAGCCTGGGCGAGGACCGCGAGGCGCAGAAGTTGCGACCGGGGCTCGGAGGGCCCCGAGGTGGTGTCTGGGAACTTACGGGGATGGAGCGGCTCAGGAACCGGGCCGAGGAGGAGGACAGGCCCGGGTAGGAGGGTCGGAGGATGGCGGCCGCGGCGGTGACGGCGGCCTGCTCCTCGGTCTTGGCGCCCTGGGGGCCCGGCTGGCTGCTCGGGGTGCTCCTGCTGTACTGGTTGTTGTTGAGCTCGGGGTAATTCGGGTCAGGCATCTGGGAGCTGCCGTTGAGGAGGTTGGTGAAGGGGGTGGCCAGGAGGGCTGCCTTGGAGAATGAAATCCTCCTGTTGTCCGGGTCGTCTGCGGCGGCGTTCAAGTTCCCCAGAGAGCTGGCCAGTCGGGAGTTTATGGAGAAGCTGGATGGGGAACACAGACCGCGATGGGCACCAGGGTACATGCCCTCCCCCCCACACACAGCCCCCCCACCCCCAGGGGGTGATGAGCACAGTTCTGACCCAGGCAAACAGGAACCAAGGGTCCCTGACATTGCCCTGGGTGATGTAGTAATACGCAGCCTTGAGTTAGACATGTTAAATTCCTCTGTCCAAAGCCGTTCATTGAGACCCAAGAAGCTGCCTGAAACCCTGAGACCAGAGATTTTGAACTTGACTGTGGAGGTGCTGTTGGCCCTGAGGCGGAAGGAGGGACAGGCATACACAGGGAGGGAAGAGTATGAGATCCGACTCACACGTATTTGATCACATGACCACACAGATCGTCCCTGCCCACCAATGGCTCTGCCCAGCGCCCAGGCGAGACATGACAATCAGGAGTGCCCTTATGCACTGGCTGGTGTAGCTCAGTGGACTGAGTGTGGGCTGTGAACCAAAGGGTCGCTGGTTCGATTCCCAGTCAGGGTACATGCCTGGGTTGCAGGCCAGGTCCCCAGTGGGGGCGTGTGAGAGGCAACCACACACTGATGTTTCTCTCCCTCTTTTTCCCTCTCTCTAAAAGTAAATAAATAAAATATTTTTTAAAAAACTTAAAGAAGTGCCCTTATTACCACATACAGCTCAACTCCATTTCTGAGTTAGCAGCCTGTGGAAGGGAACAGTGTACGGTCTCTGGCCCACACCGGAAGAGTTGTCTTGGGCCACACACTAAATACACAGACACTAATGAGGACTGGTGAGCAGACGAAAGGTTTGAACTTATAATTGTGCGTGGGGCCGCAGTCACAGCCACCCTGGGCTGCAGGTGGCCAGTGGGCCGTGGACTGGACACCCGTCGGTGGCCATCCACAGCCCTGTCCCTGAAATTCAAGACAGGGACAGAAGCCCGGAGGTCACAGAGCCTTCTCCGGTCTCCCCCCTGGCCCCGGCCCCTCTCTGACCATCCCCAGGCAAACTCACTGCTGCTGGCCTCTCCCACCTCCCACCCGGACCTCGAAGAGGGACAAGAGTTACCTTCTAACATTGGCGCCCGAGGACAGGGAGCCTCTGTTTATCCGCTTGGCCGTGGCTGAAGGAGACGAAGCCACTTTCGAGGGCTTCAGAGTGGACGCAGACCCTTGTAGGGAAGAAGGCAACCTTTGGGGAGAAACACGGGCCAAGTGTCACTCAGACGCTGCGTCACCTTGACATTCGACAAGCGCCTCGGACAAGATACACTGGGAAGCACTGAAGAGGTCCCAGCAGGTCCTAGTCACGGCGCCCACAGCAGCCACACTGAGGCTGTGGCTCGGCCCCACGGGCGTCTGAGGACCTGGCGGATGTTAACTGGGCTCAGCCCCGCCACGTGCGGAGGAAACAGAGTCACGGCAGACGAGCGCCTTGCTCAAAGTCACTCGGAGCAAGTGGCAGAGCTGGGGTGGTGCCTGGGCCCCCAAGCCCTGCCCCTCACGACAATCCTGCCATCTGTGGTCACTCCCCTTCCTTGCCACTGGCATTCCTGCCCGTGTCCTTTATTCTTCATCCACCCTCTCCTTTCCACCCAGCAACTGCCCCAGGTGAGGGCATTGTTGTATCTGATCTTCGACTGCTGGGGGCACCTTCCATCTCCCCTAAAGCGTCAGCTCTGAATAGCGTCCAGCAAAACCTCCAACACCCAAGGGAGTCACTCAAACCCATTCCTCTTCCCTCCGGGCCCAGACTGCCCTAACAGCCTTGGCTTGGCTTACGACGCCCTGGTACGTCTAGCGTCACCACATCGCACAGGTCCACGTACCCACGCTTGACCTCTGGACAAAACGCCCGGGCACCCTGCCCGCCTGCACTCTCACCTCATCCAGTTTGTCGGGCCAGGTGCCCTGCCCCCGCCACTTGTCTCATCCCTTCCTCCCCCACCTGACGCACACCTACCGCTTCTTTCATGGTGCAGCCCGCTGGGACCCCTTACAGAGGGTCTTCACTGAATTCCCAGGTGGGGGAAGCATCCTGTCTCATCCTATCTTTCCATAGTAAATCTAGCTTTTATGTCTCATTTCACTGTCTGCTGTGTGTCTACCTCCCTTGACATAAGGTTGGTCAGGAGCAGAGAACTCTCTCTCATTCCAATTCCCAGTGGCCAGACTCAAGTCAGGTGTTTCGTGAATGTTTGCAGAGGGAACAAGAAATGGGAAAGGGACTCACGTTGGACAGCCTGGGCCCAGGCGTGGCAGAAAAGCTTATTTTCCCGTAGACCTTCCTTCCCCACCCCCAGCCCCAACAGCAGCTACAAACTGGCCGGCCTCTGAGACGAGAACCCTGAGGAATGTTGTGCAAAGAGGAAGCTCCACCTTCTGCAGAAGTCGGGGCCCTCCCAGAACTCCCCCTAAACACCCCTAAGCCTGGGGCTCAGGGAGAGGTGAGGCGTGAACCAGCCTCACCAAACCCTCCACTGGATCCTGGGCCCCTGGGGGCCTCGTTGGACCAGGGCATGTTCAGGGGACATTCCCCAGAGAAAAAACAGTAACGTCTCCTCTCCAAATGGAGGGCAGAGAAGGGGAAAAAAACACACTAGAAAATAAATGAGGGCAGCACTCACATGCAAAAATAGGAAGGAGGAAAAACAGAAATATGACAAATTCAAGGCAAACTCCACCACGAGACTGAAAGGGCTGTGCAAGCAAATGTCATTTGTCGGGGACCCTGTATGTGAGGGAGCTGGGGGTCTCCGTCATAGCCTCACAGCCCTGCGTGCAGCTTGGGAAAACCAAGCTCCTCCCGGGGAGCGCAGCACAGGACGCCCCCTGGAGGGGAAGGCCCGCAATTCGGAAGGGAGACGCCGTTTGCAGTGCGTCGTCATTGGCTCCGAGGGCTGGGGCGTGTCTCTCAAAAGCATCATCGTTTACAAGGCACTAGGAGCTGTGGAACCTTGGTCACAGTACCTGAACGGCTGGGACATGGCCCTCGGGTGCCCTTTGACGTCGTCCGACCTGCGAAAATCAAAGACAGATGTTCAGGCGTCACCGGGCTCACATGGCCCAGCAAAGACCAGACAACACATGCGCGGCACCCGGGCAGTGAACCCGGCAAAGACCAGACGGCAAACTTGTGGCGTCGGGGCAGTGAAAACACTCAACTGGCGGAAGGGAGGGCCTTGCAGGTGGGCATTACCCTTCGTGCACTTTCATAAAACAGGTCCTAAAACCAGCAGGAAGTCTATGGCAGTCATTCTGTTTCATCCGGACTTTCTTGTATTGCAATTGCTTTTTAAACCAGCAGGTGGCACTGCATCCACTGAGGGTAAAATCGTTGGTTGGATGATGGTATTACAATGTCGTTACAAAAAAAAAACAAAACACTAAATTCCAAAAATATGAGAAAATTTCTGGGAATAAAAAAAATAGAAAAAAATCATACCAGAGTGAGCCTTCTAAAACCTGTGTAGTGGGAACTCTCTCTTTGTTTTCCCAATTCACTTGCCAAGTTATATTCCAACTTCTCCCTTCCTCGTCCTTATGATTTCTTAAGAACAAAACATAGAGGTTGGAAATGGATTTTAACCAACAGAAAGCCCTTTCTTAGCGTTTGAAGGGGAAAAACGGTGAATAAAAGATATTAATGATCCCGAGCCCCTCCGTAAGGGGGAGAGAACGCCGACTGGCAAGTCCCGGGCTGCACACCAGCTCCGCTCCCATCCTTCCAGGCTGAGGAGCGATCGAACCTCCCTCACCACCAGCATCCGAACCAGGTGTGGGCGGGGAGGCCTGCCTCTCAGGTTAGCTCAGCGAAGCCTCACATCCGAGCCCAGCACCTGCCGCGGGCCCCGGACCCAGACCAGCTGCTCTGTGAAGGCCACACCTCCCCAGCCTTGTGGAGGCGGCTGCTGGTGGTTACAAAGCACCCGGCTTGTCATCTCACTGTGGAGACCGATCACTCAGCTCTGAGCTGCACAAGCCTCTATCGCTCAGCTGTGGGCACCAGCGCTCCAAGCGGAGGCCGTGGTGTGATCAGCCCCCCTCTGACTGCAGTGGGAGTCCCCCCAGGGAGCAGGTGAGAACTGAAGGGCCTGGGAGTCTGCTGCACAGGTATCACCCTGACAAAACCGCTTCCTGCCGTGCGTGTCTCTCGCTCCAAAGCCAGAGAAAGGCAAGCATTTCCCATCAGACCTCTTTGTGGACACACTGCCCCCCACAGTCGAGAAGGAGTACTGATGATGCTCGGAGTTTGCACCTGCCCAGACCTTGAAGCCTTTGGTGCAACCTCAGCTCAACTGCCAGCAGGAGTTCAAGTGCCGGAGTTCGAAGGCAAGTCCCGTCAACCGACCCGAGGAGCGGTCTCGGCGACATCAAGACGGTTTATGGGCTTTCCAGGCACAGCTGGGAACGGCTTCCTCAACTCTCGGAAACAGAGGGAAGGCCAAGAGGTGAGGCCTGCCCACGCTTGGCGCACACTACCTTCTGCACGGTCAAGATTCACTCCAAAGCCTATGAGGCTCTGCCACGGAAAACCCCCTCGTGGGAGGGGGCGTGGAATTCCACAAGGAGTTCGGAGCGGAGCCCCACAGACCCGGACCGATTAGCAGTTCAAGGCGGAGCTCTCAAGCCTGCCAGCACAAGTTGCCTTCCAGAAGCTTCTAAAATTTAGCTCCTCCCCACAGTGGTAAAATAAGAAACACACAACACAAACTAGTCATAAACCAAAACACGAGAGGTGAAGCACTACTTGAATAACAACACCCGAAACAGAGGATTAACTACTCTGTCCACAGGTGGAGCCACTCCGTACACGTGCAGGTGAGAAATGGACCCACCTAAATGCGCAGGTGGGCAAGGAGCGGGGCTGCCTCTGGCTCTTTAAGGCACGTAGTTTGTCTCCCTGGGTTATGCTGTTCTTCATCTCCACGTCTTCTTCTTCTTCTAAAGAATTCTGGAAAAAAGAGCACATTCCACAGAAAAATCGTTACGAATGATTTGGTTTTATATAGATTTCCTACTAGATTATAGGTCCTCTCAGTATATATTTTATATGTATTATCATAAGTCGCTTTAACGCACCATGAGTTCAGCCTCACTCACATAGATACTAAAGAATGTACAACTGACAAGGATGTAAAGGATGTAACAGGATGTAAGATGTAAAGTACAGCGTGGGGAATACAGTCAGTGTAGAGTCACCAGCACCGTGACCACCATATATGGTGCAGGTGGGTGATCACTTCGTACTTACATGAACGTCTAATTCCTACATTGTATACCTGAAATTAATATAGCACTGTAGATCAACTCTAATTAAATCTTTTAAAGAATGCTCAACTATTTAGCAATGAGCTATCCTGGTCAAATTCCCAGTCGGGGGAAGCATGGTTGTGGATGTGGAAGAATTTGTGGGGAGCTGTAGTTACAATGAACCGCAACCAAAGAGACTCTTGTGCGGACAAAACCAGGCTTTGGAAGACGGCGTAGACACAGGCTGGCTGGGCACAAGTACACTTCCAGAAACTAGCAGGGCCCACCCGAGCACATTCCATAACTTGCTTACGAGAGTGAAAGCTGAGACCACATAGAATGCCCACACAGTCGCTTGTCAACACCGCTGAACGCCAGTCGGAGCCCTCAAGAGCTTTCCAGAAGAACCCAAGCTTACTGGAGGGGGGAGGTGTACTTTCTCCTGTAAAGACTCATCCTGTCTTTGTGGATCGAACTCCTGCTCGACAAAGGACACACAAAGGTAGACCTCCTCCGTCACCCACTAGTTCATCTCCGGGATGAAAAGACCTCTTCGTTTCCTGCCCCTGCGTTGGGGTCCGTGGGTGCACCCGGGGCTCCTCGGGCACACCTGGGTAAGGAGACCACCGTCTGTCTGAGGTGCAGGGAGAGAAAAGACCTAGGACACAGGCAGCCGGCGGGACGGAAGCAGCAGCGACGATGAGAGCTTCCTACCAGAGGCAGTACTTCAGCTGGGTCTTCAAGAAGGAACCTGAGTAACACAGGCCAAGGCCACAGCGGGCGTCCTGCCGGCCTCGGCCCCCAGCTCAGCGTCCCAGGATCGTGCGACTCAGGTACAGGTGACAGTCTCGTAAAGAACAAGTAACTGGACAGAGCATGCAGATGCATTTTACTCCTCCAGTCGTTCTGTCTCTACACGCAACGGGAAAACCCAAGTGCGATCCCTCAACGGGGCCCAGGAACGCAGGTGGCGGAAGTGAGGGCTGATGAGCTGGTTACTGCAAGGACACGAGCGGCGCCCGGGGAGGGAGGGGCTGTGCGCCCCACAGACGGGATAAAATGCAGCAGGGCGAGGAAGAGGGAGGAGCGATGGTGGAAACAGGACGGGAGGGGGGGGGTCTGAAACAGGGAGGCGCAAAAGTAGAAGTGAAAGGACTGGGAGAAGATGAAAATGGAATTTTTAGCAGGTTTCGGGGATCAGGCTCGGAAGGGTGCATGAGTCACCTCTCGAGCCCCCCCAGCTCCGGGGTTGGGGTCGGTCAGGTGCGCACACTGTGGAAAGGCAAAGGGGTCCTCTCCACGGTCAGCTGCTCCCAAGCGGTGACAAGTCTGGGTTCAACAGAGCCCCCAGGTCCGCCCGCTGTCCCTCCTCGCTGTCACCGTGCAGACCTCTGCCTGCTCCCCGTCACCAGCTCCCGAGCCTTCCACCCACCCAGCCACACACAGGCGTCTCCTCCCCCACACCCCCACCAGGGTGACCTCCCCACGCCGGTCTCTCTGCACTGCCACTGCCGTCCCACAGTCTCTGCCAGGGCCCAGCAGCACTCAGCATGGTCCTGAGAGCGGAAAGGGATGTGCTGGCAAGAAGGGCCTTTGGCGGTTTCATTTCGACCTCACAGACTTTCCTTCCAGGAGGCTGCCTGCTCATGAGCACGGGCAGGATAAGTCGAATTCAGTGGGGAGGTTTCGGGGGCCGCAGTGTCTCCGAGATGCGGCTGCAAAGCCACGTCCGTATTTACCCGACGTGGGTTTATGGGGCCCGTGGGCAGCCCCTGCATCTCACTAACATCTCTAAGTCAAGGGCATCTACGGGTCGGTGGGCTAAGAGTGGACGGCTGCCCTGGAGTAGGGAAAGAAAAGGTAGAACCACCACAGTTCCAGGAGGAACGTGTTAGGACAGGCTGGCTAAGCTCAGGTGCAAAGCCACTGCAGGTGAGGGACCAGAGCCACGTGGGGACCTCGGGGAGGGAGGGAGGCAGCAGGTGAGGCAGAAGGTTCCCAGGTGGTGGCTGAGTTTGGCTCCAGAGCCAGGGCACCTGGGTGGGGATGGCCGCCCTGCTGGTGGCTCCATGATCTCGCCCCCAGTTCTGTACCCAGTCCACACAGCTGTTGTAGGGACCGAACGAGTCACCCACGCCCAGGGCCAGACCAGTGCCCAGCAGGCACAGAGTAGGTGCTCTTTGGTTTGTTCTTGTTGCCCTCTAAGCTCTTCAGTTAATTCCTTAAATATCTGTACCTTAAATGTTTTAATTCTGCCTCCCATTTTTTTTATAACCCCAAGACACAATGAACCTTTCGGCCCCTGGCCAAAATTCGCACTTCTTGCTGGTGTTATTAGGATAGCTTGGATCATTAGCAATGTCACCTCTGCTTGTCTTTTCTACGAAACTGGAAGCCACCTTCGCCCATTCACGCACGGCTGACACAGGCCCAGTGGGCTCAGAACAGACTCCTGGAGTCCGCACCTCCACAGAGCACGCCCCCGGCAGGGAAGGCCCGTGGAGGACAAGGACGTATCAGATATGAAACTACCTATGTAAACCAGGAGCTTAGCCTCACATCGGGCACATTCTAACAGCAAAACCTAAACGAGGGAGTCAGACCCCCAGCTCTCCAGGTGGCCCAACTCCTGGACACCTCTGGGACCTCGGGCAAGTCACAGATTCTGTGGGACCCCGATTTTCGAGCCACACACGAGGGGACTGGAACAAACGATTTCAAGGTGGCTTCCAGCTCCAAAAAGGTCCCTGTCCCTAATTCTGAGTAAGTCACTTTCATTCTCTTTCGGAGGTAACAGACAGTAGTTAGGAAAATAACATGGATTTAGGGGAAAAAAAAAGATACACGTGGAGTAAATCATGTCTCGACCACTGAGGTGAGAACTCTGCTCTTTAGTTTCTTTACCATGAAACAGGTGGCATTGCCTGAATCACCTGGTGATGAAGGTGAAATCAGACCTTGCCAGCAGCTGCAAGAGGTTGGCTTATCACAGGGTCTCCGTGTTTTTTTAATCATTGCCCCCCCAGGTGTTTTCAACTCAGGGCTTGCTTTAGAAGTCAACAGGAAGCCCAGGCTTTCTAGAACCACTCCTGGCATGAACTGTTTCTTCCACTGTCACATTAAAATATTTCTTCTCGACAGCTATTTCCATGTTCACATAGTCTGTTTCTTTCATTTCCTTTGTTTTGTAAATATCCTCCAAACCAGATGGCCTCCTGTATAATTGTGTTCCTTAAATTACAGCTTTCTGCTTTTTAAGGATAATTGCTTTCCCCTCGCTCTGACGCTTGCTTTAGAGGCAGGAGACTCCACGCCCCAAATTCTGGCGCTCCCCACCACTCAGAGGAGGGATGCAGCTACGTTACACGCGTTCACACGCAGAGCACGAGTCTTAGGAAGGCGCACGCATCTCCCCAGGGGAAACTCACCTCTCCAAATCTCTCCGGGTTTTGTAGTTTGGAAAAGTTTCCGCCAATAGACATGTCGTCCAAGCTAGAAAGAATTTTATTAATGCTTCCTTCACTGGACGGTCTGTTTTTCAGTTTGGATCGGAAAATGTCTCCTTGAACCCACAACGATGCCTGCTTTCTGTAAAGAAGGAGAGAAAACAAAGTGACCTGTAAAACGAGTTACTGTCATCTCGGAAGTATGAGGTCTTATAAACAAGACTTGCAGAGGAACATTTACAAATCAGAACAGGAAGATTTTGAAGTTTTAGAAGAAAAAGAAAAGTCCCTTTCTGTTGCCACAATAAGTTAAAGTTCTATAAAAATCACAAACAACCGTCTTCCACTATGGGCCCAGACATCCCCACACAGGTTGACCATGGAAGGTTCTCGGATGCTTAGAACACACCGCAGCAAAGACTGGGAGCCCCTTTGTCTTTTAAAGGCAAATTTAAAGTCTGTACGATGTCCTGGGTGCACACAGAGTGGGAGTGTAGAGACGGCACTTTTCCATAGTGGCCGACGGTTTTGCTTTTTGGAAGCAAACCACCGAGGAAGATTTCTGTGATTAGGATAAGCAACTCCATCACATCTAACTTTTTCTATTCCGGCTGTAAATGCATGGATTCAAAACAAACTCTTCTCAACTTTTTCTTCCTTTCTGGAAATCTTCATAAAACCATGGAATAGCCTCTCCCTGAGACTCCTGGACCCTCAAAAAAATCTTGCTTTAATTCTGTCCTTCTAGATTATTTCCATTCAATGTTGTACCTAGCATAACACCTTCTCTGATGCTTGACTCTTATTTTCATTAGCAGAGTCTTTGACAAGGTAGGAGCAGTTCAAAAACTGTTAAATTTATCAATGAATCTCTTGGGCCTCTGGTCAAAACTCCCGGGAATAAAGAACTACGATTTCATAGGGAGAGAAAACTCAGTTGTGTCAAAGACAGGGAAAAAGTTAGATAAGTGAAACACAGAGACAAGACAGGGATATTCAGATAAGACAGAATTCCTGCCAGGAAGTTCCCTATTTAGTATGAGAAAAAAAAATCTGAAATCCAACACCGAAGACGCAAGGAGGGGGCTATTAACTCAATGTGAAGGAATCAGAGAAAAAGTCTGGGATCCAGTGCACCTGCAGGGGTGAGCAGGGCTGAGCCAGCACGGGGCATTCGCAAAGCAAAGAAAACAATGCAAGCTTAAAAAAACAGATCAAAAGTGCCGCGTGTTTGGGAAGCTGAGGCTGTGGAAGAAAAAGGGGGATGAGAGAACTCGGCATGTTCTGGAAAGAAGGCTTTTGGCTTTGGCCCGCACGCCACGCCGGGGAGTCTGGATGTATCTCGAAATCGAAGGGAAATGTACCCTAGCTGTTTTGTCCACTCCTCTACCCAGGGGCTGCTCCCAAATCCTGGCCATCGTAAATACCACTGCACTGAACACATGGGTGCCCGTGTTCTCTCGAATTAGTGTTTTGGGTTTCTTAGGATAAATCCCCAGAAGTGAAATCGCTGGGTCATGATTTTTCTTGAGGTAACTCTATTCTGCTTTACTAGTTGGCCATAAAAAAAAAATTGTACCCTTTGCCGCAGCACGGACGCACCTGGAGAGCATTATGCTAAGTGAAATAAGCCAGTCGAGAAAGACAAACACCAGACGATCTCACTCACACGTGGAATCTAATGAACCAAATGAACTCACGAGCAAAACAAAGACAGACTCATAGATGGAGAGCAGGCTGGCAGCTTGTGGGGGATGGGAGGCTGGGGGTGCAGGGATCGGGCCAAAAAGGAAAAAAGAGGAAGAATTTTAGACACAGACAGCAGTGTGGTCACGGGGGCGGGGGGTGGAGGTGGAAGAGGGTAAATGGTAATAGAAAATTGAAATTGAAAAAATTGAAGGGAAGACCGTCTAAGGATTTTGGGGGGATGGGGGAGGGGAGAACCATGATGTGGAAACAGAGGCAGAGGAGTTTGAGGCTTAAAGCGGAAACAAAACCCAACTGTAAATGTTGTAAACTGAAAACTCCGACAGCGCAGCCGACCTAACGGTGGAAATGACACAGTGACACCGTCCACACGCTCAGTTTACAGGTCTCCTGTCCCATCACTGGGGAGACTTGATCTGGACCTGGATGTTAACGACTGGGGGTCAAAGCTGGCTTCCTGCGGCTGAGAGATGCGGCGCGTTGGTGCTTAGAAAACAGCGGCTCCTCCCGAAAACCCTTTCCCCTGACTGGGGAAAAACCGCACTGGCTTTTACTGTGGTGTCTGTTGCTCCTCAAGAGCCTCCTCTCAAACAGAGGTGAATCGCCCATTTTTAAGTATTTAGCATTTGAAAATCAGGTGCCCTCACAAGAACACACCAGCTGGAAGTAAATCCTCCGGGGATGTGGTACGTTTTCCAGGGGTGCACCCCTCCACCCTTGGAAATGACAGGGAGACACCAGTCTCCATGCAAAGCGAGCCTTGCAGAGCTAAGCGCTGGTGCTGGCTAGGGTCACTGTTCTTGGCCAAGTCCCAGGCCTGGGATGTAAATAATGAATTTGGCCTCCCCACGAGCCAAGTCACAGCTACATCTAATGTTGCGCCTTCACAAGCATTTCTCGAAATCTGCTTTTGGAATTCCCCTAGAGAAAGACAAGTCGTTGCCTGGTTACAGACGTTGCTGGTTTTGCACTCGGGGCAGAGGCGGCCACTGTGCACCTCCTCCTGTTCGCAGGCGACCTCCACTCCCTCCCTTCCCGAGCCCAATTAACCCCATCCCCACAGCACCCCAGCTCTGCCTTCCTCACCTCCTTCCTTCTGGGTCACGCACATTTCCCGTATGACCCAACCCTGCCCCAGGGGTCCATCTACAGCCACCATTTGGTCACTTTTTGTGGAGAAACCCAACCCACTTTTAGCTCCACCTGAGCCTCCTCTACTGAGACTTGAGAACCAACTGCCTGGGTATCTCCTAGCCCAGCACCCAGGGCTGCTGTGGAAACACAGGCAGCTACTGGGCTGGAGACGTGCGCTAATGATGATACAGTGTGACTTGATTTCCAAGGAAGGTGGACCAGAAAGCAGGACGCAAGTCTCAGGGGTCAGAGGGAGACAGGTGTTCAAGGAGAACTACTCATTATTTGCACAAATGGAAAATTTAATAGGAAGAGGTTTAGAAAGGATTCAGCTCCTGACGCTGAAGCGCACAGGAAAATGCAGCCAGAAGGGAAAGAACCGATTTGGGAAGTTCCCAGAATCGACCACTAGCTGAATCTAATTCAGGGAGAGCACCCCCTCAATCTGAACCCCGGAGGTCCCTGGAATCGCGACAAAGTACACACTTCACAACTAAACCCAGCGCATCATTACACCTCCAGCCCGTGTCACACAGGGAACCAAGTCGGTGTCCCTCCATCTTCCACAGGAACTGAATAGCAGTTCCTAATTTTTTAATAACTGAGTGTCGCTGCCAAAAGGTAACTGTCCAGTGTCGCTCAAACTCCAGCCTTCACAATGAGCGTGTTTGTTATTCTAACAAATAAACCACAACACGGTCTAGTATTATTTTAAATTCTTCTGCTTCTAATATTTTAGACTTCAAATTTTTTCTATTTTAGAAATAGCAATTTCTTAAAGTTTTCAAATAGATGATTTAAAAAATTTAATGCACTTTCCTTGACCTCATGCATGTATCTTAAAAAAAAAAGGTAAGGAAACAGTACGAATCCATTACAATGAAAAACTCAAGCTGTTCCTGAGGCATTTTCAAGCATTTTTCCACTTCGTGAACAGGTTTTCTTCATCTTATGTTCGGTAACTTCCTGAAATAACACACTGGCAGAACGATTAATTTCTGATGTCACTCAATTCGATGGCGAAATTTACCAAATGCTCCAGGCCCCAAACCGAATGTGACGTTAGGCTGACATGTGCAGGGTGAGCCGGAGCCGCAGGCCCGTGTAAGACGAGGTGGGTGGTGGGTGACAAGTGCAAAGCCTCCGGTTCCGCCCCCGACCCTGCCCCGACCTCCCGATCGGAAACTGAGTTCCCTCTGGCACCCCAGTTCTGAGAAGCGCCACAGACTGACAACGAAATGAGAACGTTCAAAAATATCCCACGGACTGGCCGCTGACAGAAATCAGCAGAACAGGGAAACTTCCGATTCCCGGATTTAGAAATGAAAAAGTTGAACCACAACACGGTCACCTCCTCGAAGGTGACTTCCTCCAACATGGAAGTTCTGCTCCGTGAAGGCACAGCTTCGTGCAGGGCCCGGGCGGATGTTTAATGAGGTTTCTCAGCAGGAGACTTAAAAATAAAGACGAGAGCTTGACATGGGCCCCGTAAGTAAAACATCCCTGTGAAGAGAAGGCCCCCTGGGCACCCACCGCCAGGCCCCCAAGACAAGACACCCTTTCTAGGGAATGAAAGCGTTAATGGGCCATGCTCGGGAGGAAGGGGGGGCGGCAGAGCACCCAGTGAACAAAACCAAACAAACCGTCCAGGCGGCCAGGCCCCAGGTGGGGGCGTCCTGGGAGGAACTGGGGGAGATGCCAAGACCCGGCTCTGAAAGCAAAAAGCGGTCTGGGCATCATTGTGAGAATGTGGAGGGCGTTTGGTAGGAGACGTATCAGGGCTGTTATGTTGGTAGCTTAAGAACATCAGCTTTAGGTAGAATTTTAAAAAACGCTCGATGTTTGTTTTGCAAACAGCTTTCTTTATAGCCCAGGAAAAACGTTCAACACGAAATTTCAGACAGTCCCAAGGAGAGGCGGTGTTCTGTCGACGACCCAAACTCACCAACTCACTAGGACGCGAATGAGCACCTCTGACTGCTGGCGAGCTTGCGGGGGAAGGTGTCTTCCAGGCGCAGACACCAGACAACGCTGTTCTGGGGTTCGAGGACCAGCAGGATGTGACAGGCAGCCTTCCCGAAGTCACGGGGTCGGAATTGACAGTCCCTACGAGCGCCAACCGTCCACCTGGGACACTCCCCCTCACTCTGCGGCCGCGTCTGACGGATGGAAACCCATCACCAAACACTCGAAGAACGTGGCACCTGTTCGCGCCTCCGCGTCACCGCTGACGCAGCTCTTCGTCCACCATTAGCAGGTCTTCACAGCCTGGGACTGATCTGCAATGTCCCTGATGCCCACCTCCAACTGCTCAGTCTGACTTCTGGCCCTTGGACAAGTCCCTGCCCGCTTTGGGGGACAGTCCAGTGTTCTCTCTTTTAGCCTCTCTGGCTCGTCCTCTGCCCCCGAATCCACGTGACTGACTGCTGCAGCCCCGTCTGCCTTAAATACCACGGGGATCGCAGGTGCCCCCACTCCCACGACTCCACGGTAGGGGTCCAATGAGCCAGAGCAGCGCAGAACGCCCACGTCCCCACGAGGACCTGTAGCTCCAACTGGACTATCTGCTGGCTCTCCACTCAGAGGCACGATGTCTACCAGACGGACTGGTCCCCCACCTGCCCAGAGCTGCTGTGACAAGGTCCCACACACTGAGCAGCTGGGCAGGACACGTCACTTTCGCACAGCTTTGGGGTCGGAAGTCCAACACGGGCTCCGGGGTAGAGCTCCACTCCAAACAAAACCGAGGCTTGACTTTAAAAGACCAACGCTCTCAGGTGTTGGTGAGTCCGTGAAAAACTGGAACTCGCCCACACTGAGGATGGGAACGTGGACCAGCGTGCCTGTTCTAGAACGCTCTTTAGTAGCGCCTGCCACAGCTGATGGTTCCACGCGTAGGTGCAGAGCCAACACAAAGGCGGACCAGTGACAGGAACCGGGCCGAGAGGTTCTAGACTCTCGGACTCCATGTACATAAACACATAGCACTCTCGAAATGACAAAAATCTATGAAGGGAAAACAGATCGGCCGCCCTCGGGAGTGGAAGAGGAGTAAAGGCAGGAAGGGGGTGTGGCTATAAAAAGGCAGAAGGCGATTGGAGGGCTTCCTGGGGTGACAGAAACATCGTATCTCTGGTCAGGGCCCTGCCTTTGATGTTACACTGTAGTTTTGCTAGATGTTTGCCTTAGGGGAAAGGAGGGAAGAGGTACACAGGAACCTTTCTATTGTTCCTTACAACCACCTGTAAATCTACCATTAGCTCAAAATTCTTATTTAAAAAAAAGTGCGTGTGTGTGCACATCTGACAGTCAGATCACAACACCCCTCGGCTCACAACCTGCTGCTGACCCTTCATCCCACCCGCCCATGAGGTCCTGCCTCAGACACACAGCCTGCCTGCAGAAGGCCTGCCCGGGGGCCGGTCACCACTGACTTCAACACTTCACCTGCACACGGAGACGTCCCTGCACCTCGGCTTTCACAGACAAACACCTGGCGCTACAGGTTGGATTCACACCTGAGGAAATATCCCAAATGTTTCTGCTTACGTGTCTACACACGGAAAACACCTTCCTTTACAACTCAGGGCGTCTTTGCCTCCCAACCTACTTTCTTGGCTACTGTTTGGCGCTGTGGCAGGGAGAGGAGATGCGAGGGGGTGAGGAGGAGGAGGAGGAGGAGGAGGGTCGTGCAGGTGTGAACCCGGAGGGCTGGGGTGCCGGATGCCCCGAGAGAAGCTGGGTGAACTTGACCGGCGGTGTTCTCAGCAGAGCGCCAAGTGCCTGGTGAGTCCTCGGTGGGAACCCAACAAATGCAAACTCTTCCAAACAACAATTTTAATAGATGCTTAGAGAGCCAAGCTTACGGACAGTTTTGTTTTCTCCTCCCAAGGCTCTTTATTCAACTGCAGCAGGAGAATGGACAATGAGCCCCTGGCTCATAGGCCAGGACACGCGTGTAAAATAGTGGAAACCGCGGGCAGAGAACCCAATCAAGGGTGAAACCCTTAAATAATGCAATTATTTTACTTGTATCTCAGAAGCCAATAACCCAGGAACTTCGTCTTCCTGCGGCTCCTGTTCTTGGGTACTGCTTTCCTGTGCATTCAGTGCCGTCCTGCCTCACTCGTTTAGACTACAATGTAAGTGAACATGTCTCCACCCTCCTGTGCTGATCGGTTACCCCTCGGGGACTGGTAACCACAGTGATTCCTCAGCCGGCTCGGAGCCCCGGCACCGTTTCTGGCGCGAATCGCTCCCTTACAGCATCTTTCCGTGAAATTTACGAGGGTGTGTTTCTCACGGACATAAAAGGATTTAAAGGGAAAGGAATGAATTATATGGAAAAGGCTGCTATCCCAAACAAAGCCACTCCAGCACTGAGAGAGCAAAGTGAAATTTCAGTACCAGAGATCACTCCGACAGCAACTTAGAGCTGGACCTAGACCGGCTGGTGCTGATTTCACCTCCTTGTTTTACGCACAGATTGATGGTGACTCCTGAGACGTTTTGAGGGGGATCGGGAAGGGTTGTGCCCATGCGGGCTTTACCTGCCCCTCCGTGCACCGGGGTTTGACAGAAAGCTAGCGCCTGAGTGCAGGAAGGGAGGCGCGATTTCGAAGCTTTCCCCTGAGCACGGGCAGGCCGGACGGAGCCAGCCCTCCTTCCCTTCCTGGACGCCTCCTCAGCGGCGGCCACGGAGCGGCCCAGTTAGCTTTCGGGAGGGCGACAACCTCCCCGAAGTCACCGATGGGCCTCAGCCGGGCTTCCTTTTGTTCTCCATTCTGCTCTCAGACATGCAAACGGAAGATTGAAAGGGACCAGTGGGACGACGTCATCAGAAAACTGCGCTGTGGCCACGCCACACAGGGGAGACGGCAGGGACAAGGTTGGAGGAGGTGGCTGTCCCCCAGTGAAGGGAGAGACAGGGCGGGGTGAGAATGCCTGAGCTGTCCGTGGAGAAGACTCCTCAGGAGGTGCTGACACGGCCCAGGGAAACTGAGGCAGGGGTGACCAGGAACCTGGGTGGGACCTGATGTGGGGAGCGGGGGTGGGCAGGGGGTGGTGGCGACAGACTTACTCTTCCAAGAAGTGCTGCTGGGGCCCGATGATAGAGCCCGGGCGGCAGATCCGGATCCAGGAGATGATCTCGGCGTGCGTGAACCTGTAGTGCTTCATGACGTAGCAGGCTATCAAGGTGCCCGTCCTCCCAAGGCCAGCTGCAAGAGAGGGGGACAGGTGGACATGCAGACCACCACCCACGGGCCCCTCCTGTGAGCCCCTCCCGGTCGAACATTCTGCTCCTCCCCCTGTTTTATTAAATGAGGGCTTTAGGGGGCAGGCGGCCTGTTTGCCTGTGAAGCACCTTTTGCCTCCGATCCAACACCTACGTGCTTGGAAAAGAGTCAGGTGTGACCTCAGCCTCAGCGGGGCTCCCCTTTCAACGTAAGAGTCGTGAGAATCCCGTCTTTGTTCCTCTAGAGGGTCCACTGCCCGGGCATCTGCAGGGGCCGCAGGTGACCCTGGTGGCCAGACACAGCCGGGCAGGGTCCTGGGGCAGAGTCCAGGGCTCGGCCGGTGTCCAGGGCCCCTCAGGTGGCCTTTGTGGGGGCGGCAGTTGCTCCCATGCGCCCCTCCCTGTGGGGGGGCCTTTAGGGTCCCTCTCAGGCTCCTCATCACACACACTCACAATGAAAAGAAAAAGCGGCACAGCAATGTTCAAATTTCTCTGAAACTCAGGTTGCTTCCCCTCTTCAAAAAGAGTCTATAATTTCATCTATAAAAAGAACGTACTTTGCGCTCTAATCACAATCGAGCAGAACGGGAATGTTCCACGAAGTTGTCATAAAAACCTTGAACAAGTTTGTTAGAACATTCATCATCCACGGTCTCCTTGGCACAGCAGGACAAGAGGTGGGAACGGTTTCTGTTTATGCCTCGGTCAACGCCGGCTGCCTCACCGTTCCCGGCACTCTCTGAAATCCCTGTCGAACGCCAACAACTGCACACCAGAACATCACGGTGTTGCCGCTTCTTAAGATTATTTGTGCTAGAAAATTTCAAGAGTCCATAGCCATCTGTTTTATTAACCAGAAGGTGGGCTGGAGACGCTGAATTGTCATACCCCTCACCCATTCCCAGCGGATCCGTTTCTTGTCTGACTCTACGTAGTACTTTATGTCGAGACAGGACACAGCCGCTCTCTTCCTGACAGACATCAAAGTGCATTTGACATGCAATAAGACTCCCTCTGCCCCCTCCTTGTAGGGCGATTAAAATGCTCCAGGCTGTTTGAATTCCCAGAAAATTAAGCTGACTTAATTAGGGCAAGTGTCAAAATAATTAACGAGCCTATAGCAGACAACTACTCTATTAAAAGTAATACAGCTGTAATTAAACCAAAGGTATGCTCCTTATAAAAGAATCCTAAGTGTGTGCACAGGAGCCAGCGAATGAAGTGCACTCAAAAAGATGTCTCCACAGGTAAATGTGACCTTCCCATGCAAGAACTGGACTCAGTGCTGAAGGGTCTGAGTTTGGGACTTCCAGTCAAGATGGAGGAGTAAGTCTATGCTGTGCTCGCCAGCGCCCCCGACCACATGAAAATCACAACTAAATTATGGGATGACCACGCTGAGAACCACCTGCACAGAAGTCCCATACCCAAAAAGAAGCCACGTCGAGACTGCAACATATCAACACGGAAATAGCTTTAATGCTAAAAAGGGACAAACAACAAGGCTCTGGTTTTACATAAAGAATTTAAAAATGAAGTGTCAATGCACCAATTCAGGGTATAATGGAGAGGAAGACCTGTAACGAGGATGTTTAGCCCCAGAAACTTTGTTTTCCCACCATTTGTGAGTGAGGAAGGCCACGGGGGGAGAGGTGCTGAGCTTTAAGAAAAGCTTCGCATTTCTTCCCCCTTGAACTTGTCGACCAGAGACATGACACACAGATAAAACACAGGACGTGGTCATTGCAAAACGAACCGACTCAGAAATCAGGCCAAACTGATCCCAGGAAAAATACTGACTTTCATGACACAAAAATAAACTTTGAAAGAGAGCATGTGAGTATCTCCTCACATGCTGGCAGTAGCTGTGTTCCCATTAGCTCTCAAATTCCACTGATATTTGAAATACGTGAAAGGCAGGCTTTTTCTTGGGCCTGGGCCATCCTTCCCAAAGTGAGACAGAAAGGCAAAGTTGGGGTGCAAACGGACTGCCCCGGGGGCAAGCCTGCTCGCCAGCCCCCGGCTGTGACCTACTCAGAACTGGAAACAGCAATCTGCAATGAGTGACAAACACACCCACCTAGGAGGTGTGGGGAGTCCCGAGCCAGGGCCCCATCCTGCTCAGACACAGGGAGGGGGCTGCGTCAGGGTGAAGAGCCCCACCCCAGGAGCCCCCCCGAAATCCGGGCCACGCACAGCTCACTTCCCTGGGCCTCAGGCAAATGCAGCTTTCCCTCGCTCTCACATGTTCGGCAAAGTACCTCCTCCACCTACTCAAATCTTAAACATAGAAACAGGGGCCTATAAAATGGTGTTTTAATTACTGTCAGAACCCAAGCTGAGCTCGTCTGAATAAGTCAGTTACAGCGGCACCTGGCACGTGCACAGAACAGTAGGATCCCCAACACCTATTGGATCAAGAAGCAGAAAACTCCACAGACGCACGAACAGCACCACCCAGAGGCACTCTGAAAAGCTGCATGAGGGGAGCGCACGCCAGGGAGGCCAAAGGGATTCCTTCCTCTTCTCTTTGAAATCAAAGACCCCTGTAAAAGGCCTCCCACCACACGGGGGAGTCTCCCAGCAGTGACCTAGCCTCCTCCGCAGCTAAGGCTTGGACCAGAGGTCCGCTCACACGAGGCTGCCAGAGAAAACACCATGAAGGTACGTCCTGTGCCCTGTCTGAGCCACACCAAAAAGGACTCCTTGTTTAAAACCGCATTTTTACTTGCATCTCTGACAACCTTATGCCTTCTATAGTGTCCACCTCTTGAGATCAGAGATTCCTTTACAAAACCAAGTCTTGCAGTTCATTCAAAGACACAAGCAAACTGGCCGGTGGTCCCAAGATGCTGCTGTCCCCTGGGAATAGGCAAGGAAGCCGCTCCACGAGGCCAAAGACCAGCAGGGAAACTGGGGAGCAGAGGGGGGTGGACCCACAGGGCTGCCGGTCAGGAAACGAGAGCATTAACTATCGGGCGGGTGGAGGAGGGCGGAAAGGAGACGGCCAAATCCGAAGGAAAAGAGAACAAGGAGGCAACAACCCCACGCCCCTCCACCAGACACTGTCCCCCTCTCCTGCAGGGCTCGGCGTCAGTGACCCTGACCCCAGACAGGCCACATCCAAGCGACCCTTTTCTTGGAAAGGGATTATTTCAACAGGTGTGTGTCCCACTTTTCTGAAACCAAAAAAGATCTCTTTTTTCCTCTAAGACACCAGCTGGTTTTGCTGGACGTGACTCGCTGGTCCGTCCCCTCCCAGGGACCCCCGGCTGGCACGCACCTTTGCAGTGGACGGCGATGGCCCCCTCCGTGTTCTCGCAGATGTTCAGGAACCGCCGCACGATGTGGTCGCTGGGCGTGCTGCCGTCAATGAAGAAGAGGTCGTAGTGCTCAAAGCCGGCGTCCGTGAAGCGCTTGGCCTCGTAAATCTTTTTGTTCAGCCGCACGATGGCGGTCACGTTGTGCTTTTTGAAGTAAGGGAAATAGGCTTCGGGGGCATGCAGAGGGTAACCTAGGGGGAGAAGGACCTGCGGTCAGCTCAGCAGGGCACCTGGGGACACCCACACCTGTGGTAACACTTATAACATGCGGCAGCACCCTGGGGGACAGCGCAGCTCAGGACACGGCCAGAGGCCCCAGCCTCCAAGCAGCAGTCCGAGGAAGTGGAGAAACCCTTCCCTGAGCGCTGCAGACAGCTCCCTTCCAATGGCCAGTCTCAGTCCCAGGAGCACCGCCTGCCAAGTCCTGAGCAAGCGTGCCTGGAGCTGGCCTTTACTGGGGCACTTCAGTGACAGAAGCCTCTCAAAGGCAGTTGAGGCCCCTCTGCCGGCCGGACAGCCTCAGTCGGCAGAGCAGCCCCCCACCAAAGAGACTGAGAATTAAGCTCCTGTCCTGTGCCAGCCACGATTACACTCTCGTTTACACTCTTAATTCTCACACCGACCTGTCAAGAACAGTTCAGTCCACTTAGCAGATTCAGAAACTCAAAGAGGTTGAGTGATGCTTTCGTAGACATTTTCTTTTGGTGGGAGGTCAGGCGTTCAGCCTCTAAACCCCCCACTATTTTGAGTGTATCTGGCCTCACGTGAGTGTTCCCGGGGAGCTACAGTCAACTGAGGGGACCCCTGGGGGCTTGGCAGGCCTCACCCAGCAGCCCCAGGGGTGAGGGGCCTGGGCTCCCAGCACCTTGCTCAGCGCCGCTGAACCCCATTACTGGCTCTCGGCAGGCGCACCAGGTGAGACGCCCTCACTCAGAGCCCGTCCGTTATACTGGACTCCACACACGGCTGGTCGAGGGGACCGTGGGGACATTTCCTGCCGCCTCCAACCCTGCACAAGCGGCCACTTCTTCCTCTGTCTCAGCAGCAAGCCCGCTCTCTCACAACTTGCTCTGAGCTGACTTCCTGTCAGTTCTGCAACCGGGAGGCACCCAAAGGTGACTGGAGGCCAGAGCCAGGGGAGGGGACGAGCACAGTGGTCCGGCCTGCATGGAGCTGAGGGCAGCTCGGCTTCCCCGGCGCCAGCCTGCAGCCCAGCCTCGTGCCCTCCGCTCCTCGGCCCCCAAATGCAGGCCTCCACCCCGGGGCAGGCCCTCCAGGACCCTGGCACCAGCCTGGCTCCTCCTCCGAGCTCCCGCCTCCTGGTGACCCCACCCCCCTCTCTGTCCCCTGGCCTGAAAGGCAGTAGTAGCTCTTTCCTCCAGAATATTCTGGTTTCTTCAGTGCTGCCCTCTGGCTCTTTGACCTTCTAGGGAACAGCTGCCCCCCGCCGAAGCCCCTCTGTCGAAACAGGGCAGTTTCATCCCTGCCCAGACCCCACTGGCCCACTGTCTCCCTTCGGTGCTGCTCATAGTCTAAGCCTCGTTCTCCAACTGTCGCCTGGAGGCTGCGACTCCCCAGCCTGACTCCAACCAGTGCCTCCTGGACTTCATTTCCCTGAGCTGGTTCTGCCTGCAACTGAGAGTCCGAGAAGGGTACACTCGGCCAAGGTCATGCCACGAACACGGTGGAACTGGAAGGCAGGGCTGGCTAACCCACAGGCCAGATCCACGATTTCCACTTCAGGCACACGGGTGATAGAGCGTGTTCACAATCTTCCGCATTAGAAACACTGACGCATAGAAACAGGGAAAACGAATGCTTTTCAACTTGGAAAAATCCCATCTGCACTCCTAGTTGGTTCGTTGCCCAAATTATTGTTCTTTTAACAATAACTGCACACTGAGCAGTTACCAAGTATGGCAGCAGGACTCTGAGATAAGAGCAATAATGATAATAACGCCACCTAGCGTTTACTGAGCACTTACTATGCACCAGACTCTCAACCCTGCATTCACCGGTGCGGGTGCCCAGAGAGGGAGCTGGCCCAGGCGCGCACTCTGCTGCTGGGAGAGGCAGGACCCCTTTGGAGCCTGGAGCCCAGAGTCCAGGGCCTGGGCTGGGGCTGATTTCAGGAACAGCCACCGGGGGCTAACCGCTAGGTCTCCGAAAAAACTGGGGACATCACATGAATAGCGTTGGTGAGCAGGTTTCTTCAAGACCCCCAAAAGTGCTTCAACTGAGTTACAGCCAAAAACAATGCCAATATCCTAGGGATTTGGAACAGTTGTTTGCGGGGGTTGTCCGTGCACTGGGCCCTGTGGCTGACGGGGCGCTCGCCCAGCCCTTCTCCGTCCCGCCACTAGGTGGTGCCCTGACCTCAGTAAAAAGCACCGGCAGGGCCAGACGCCAACCAAGCCCCGAAACAAAATCCCACAGCAGAGGGCCCTTTAAAAACCCATCTCCTCCCAGCCCCTTCGAGGTCAGGAATCGGAACAAACAGCAGTGGGAGGACTCATCCCCCTGCAAGAGAGGCAGGCAAATGGAGCAAATGAAATATCGGGCTCATTCATGGTAAAAATGTCGTCAGAATACCTGCTACCGGATGAGCACCTCTGATGGGCCAGACAGCGTGCAAAGCACTTTACACAACACCACCAACCCGCACTAATGCCCGCCAGGTGCACTCTGCTCCGCCCTTCGATAGGGGAGGAAACCAGAGCTCAGAGAGGGTGCAGGGCTCATGCCAGTTCACGGGGCGGGATGGGCGGGAGAGGAGCCTGGCCTCCACCTGCCCAGGCTCTGCCCACGGGGGAAGGGGTCTCCCACAGGAAGAGCAGGCTGGCCTCAAATGTCGGGATTCCCCACCTCCAGCTGTCTTTCTCTGTGCTGTTTTCTCTTTCTCTCTCATTTTCCTTTCCTTTTCCTTTCCTTTTAAATCAAGATAGGAAGGACATTGCACCTGAGAGTCCTGTGGGGGTTATTTGGGGTGGTTTTTTTTTTAGAAAACTTGAAATCCAAAATATGTTTAACCAAAACCCAGCGGGGCTCTCCTCTTGCCCGTGGTCAAAAGCGACTGTCTGTCGATACAACACACACACAAGCCTCTCGCAGTGTGTCCTGCCTGCCTGCCTCGGCTGCGTCCTGGCAACAGCTCTCCGAGTGTGAACTCCCTGATGACCCACCTTCTCCACTATCAAACCCCCAACATGACTGTCAGCCTCCCAAGGAAACCAGGGTTTCTCAATGCGGAAAAACAACAAAAAAAGTGGCAAGATTTCACTGTAACTGGATCGAGTTTATTAATTCCATCACAACATTAAGTTCAAAAAGGATGTCTAAAAGGGGAAGCCCTTTACAAAAAGCAGGATGAAGCATCTAGTGACTGCCAGGTGTTAAAAAGGGCATTCCATTACAGGAACTAGTATAAAGGACACATGGACAACAGCTAAGGGGGGTGGAAAGGGGAGCACTGGGGGGTGGGCTGGGAGTAAAAGACAGAAAACTGTACTTGAACAATAATTAAATAAATTTTTTAAAAGAAAAAATTTTTTTTAAAGAAGAGCATTCCGGTAACAGGGCGACACTTTAGCAATGGCAGCTTTAGTGCAGTCGTCCCAGACGTAAAAAGGACAAACCCGAGGAAAGCAGCTCTGCTGGGCCTTTCTCTCCCTCTCCCAGTGAGAGGGCAGAATAAATGCGTGGGGGAGGTGTGTGCAGAGCAGCATTTTATATATCACAGGTGACTTTCTAACTACCCTGCTTACATTTCCTATCGTGGACATGTTCTTCCTCCGTAATAAAATTTACAACAACCTGGAATTTGGACTCGGATAGACCTGTGTTTGAATCCACATGCAGCTGCTATCCAGCTGTGGGACCCCCCAGTCAGGCCGGCCCCCTGAGCCTGCAATGCTCCCCCTAAAGTAGGTCCCGCCTGCTCCGGAGGAGGTTCCGACTGTGGAGTAGGCAGTGCACAAAAGGCTGGGCTTCATCCCTGCCGTGGAAGCAAACGGTGGCTGTGATTATACCCCTACCTCGCAATTCGGGACCAAAAAGAATGTCTGAAAGATTTCTGACAATTGAGAATGAGCACACAAAACGTTTGTATCCTTTTAGCTAGTGAGTCTACTTTCACGACTTTAGAGAAGAAAATAGAGCTTCAAAAAAGATGCATGAACGTGTCTGCCCACCACAAGCTTTTAAAAAGTTAGTCCTCGTCCAAAAACGATTGATTGGTCGATTGACTGATAGTCACTGAATGACAGAGAAGGCAGCCATGGAAACGTATAACGAAGGCGCACATTTCCTGCCCACGGGAAGACATCTGTGCATGTTACGTGAAAAAAGATACTAAAAGACCATAATTACATCGTGATTCCACGCTTGTAAAAAAAAGGAATATTTTTATAAGGATCTGTGTGTGTTCATTGAGAGAGAGAAAATGTGCACAGGTAAAAAATAAAGAGAAGCACATGGAAGGAAAATTAAAATCCCCAAATAATCCCACCACTAACTAGTAACCCTAGAAAAACCTGGGTAGAATCAGAAGTCATTTCTATGCTCTTTTTATTGGTTCTCCTGCACTTGCTTCCTCTAAAAAAAATAAGCAAGGAGTATCTCTGTAAAAATATTTTAAATGATTTTTTAAATGATACCTCATCTCCTCTCTAATTTCATAAGACACGTGAATCCTAAGTGACAAATTTCCTTCCGCTTCACCGGTAAATGCCAAACAGAGGCGCCACCAAACCACAGGCCTGCACAGGTGTTCTGGGCTGAGTCAGACCCTTTCGCACACAAGGCCAAGGGCAGGCTCATCGGCGCTGCCTCGAGAGGCCACCGGTCAGAGAGCAGTTTGTCAGGCACTCAGCCTGTTATTCCTAACAACCTCGCAGAACAGGCGTCCGCGCATCAACGTCTGGGGCAGAGGAGGCTGGTGAGCGAACCCCTCCAAAGGGTGTGGTTCTGGCCTCCTGGAGGCCCGTGGGCTGAACCCTCCGGGGTCCCGTCCCCACAGGGAAACTGTCCCAGGCAGAGTTTCTCCGTTGCGTGATGTCACGGGTATGAAATGATGGGCACGTGTGTGGAAACGCCAAGAAATGGTCAAATCTAAATGTGTGAATAACAACGTGTGACGAAAGTAGATTTTAGAATAAACACTTATAATAACGATAAAGTAAGACTAAATCTAGACCAGGTTTCAAGTCCTGTCCCCTCGCAGGACAGACAGGCGGTCCAGGTCTCCGAGCAGACGGAGAGCGAAGGGAAGGGGCTGTCATGTTCACAGGTGACTTCGTAAATTTTATGTACTTCTCCCCTAAATTACTCTTCAACCTTTGGAGACTCTCATTTCTTCTAGGGAATGTTAGCAGATGAAAAAAGAAAGTAGACACTACGTACTAAAGGGAAAACTCAACTAGCTGATCATTTCATTTCGAGAGGTTTATTATTATTATTTTTGTTTGTCTTTCTTTCCCTGAAGAGGAACGTCCCAGCCACACACGGACAGCAAATAAGTAACGGAGTGACTGCCAGTGACCTCGGGCAAATTCCCACCCAGAATTTCCTCCTGCAGGAAATGAAGATAACAGTACCCACTCCTCCTGGAGGTTGTGCGCGCGCTGAATGAGACAATGCTTTCGTGAGCTAGCATCTAGAACGTAGTATGTGCTCAGTAAAGGACTACGGTTGTCGCCCTCATCATCATTATTCAACATGGTGTTCCCCAAAGAACACTCTGATGCTCAGCACTCCACGCCCCCAACCCCCTGACAAATCAGAACCGCCACAGGAACTCGGTCATCTTCTTATGAGGTCTGACTAGATTCTCAGATTCTTCTGTGACACCTGGGCCAGGTAAAGAGGGAGTCCTGTTCTAGACAGCCTAAAAATTGGCTACTTCTAACACAGTGATCTCACCTCCACTCACTAAAGTACAATATTGAACACACCGATTACTATCATTCCGATTTTCAACTTGTGAATATTCTTTGAATTTTCTGAGGAAAGAAAGACATTGAAAATGAAGTGTGATAAATTTGGGGGGGGGTCAAAGAAAAGAAAGGAAAACCTACCATTTTCAATCTTGCTTTTTGAATGTGGTCCACTGAATGCTAAAAATTTCCCGGGGACAATCCAGTTGAAGTCGCCGTTCTCAACTCGCTGGCGGAGTGACAGTGACGTGTGGAAAGAGAAGAAAAAGATTTCGTGATTCTTATACCACTTAGGACCCCCTTACAGACAAAGCTGCTTCCGTCCTGTGGGTGCCCTGTGGGTCCAAGACAGACCGGGCACCCAGGGAGGCGAAGTGACTCGGCTCCAATTAACAACGGCGTCGATGCTCAAAAGGGTATTTATGAGTTCGATCCACTCCGGACAAGTTTTTATCTGGACTATAAAAATTCTTCAGAACTCTAAGTGGAGGTACTTTGCTTGAAACAAGTTTGTCTCCGGCAAACTTTGTCTCCAGCTCGTCTCCGGGCCACTCAGCCCTGGAAATGCAAATGAGCATTACTTGTCCCAGCAATAAAGGAAAATTGAGAGAAAATATAAGCACTTTCCACGAACACAGGGTACATACATTAAACAATAAAAACCTCTATACATCAGGGTTATGATGAACACACTTTCTTGGGCTTTTTTTCCCTGTTTTTACTGGTAGAAGTCTGTTGCCAGCACTGATTATAGACTTGGAAATGGACGGAGGCGGGAGTGAGGGACAGACCCTCGTCCAAGGTTATACCACAGTCTAGAGTCGGCCAAGGCCATAAACCACTCAGTTCAAGGTCCGCAGGAGAGAAATAAAGGCAGGTGCTCCTTAGCAACGTGGCCCGTCTTCCATTTGGATTTTCACGGGAAATCTCTCTGCGTTTGGAATTTGCCATTTTGGGTGACATCTTTCCATACTGATACCACGCGGCCAAATAAAACACACCTGTGGGCCAGCTTGGATCAGCAGGTGTCAGCCTCCAGCCTACGTCTGCAGAGGGAGCCCGAGCAGAGGCCGGGAGAGCAGGGAAGGGCCCAGAATCCCCCCACCGCCCCACCCTCCCTCCACCTCCGCGCCTTCCCCGGGTGCCGGTGAACCAGGGGTCACTGACTGGGGCGGGGCTGGCGGTTGATATCCGGCAGGTGACTGGACAGGCTTGCTCCAGGCATCCTAAGGCCGGTCATTCATTGCCTCTTCACGTGAGCATCCTGAGCCCCCCAGCCCACTCCACCCCAGCCTCAGCCCCAGCCCCACTGCCAGTCAGTGGGTCCCCAAGCCCCCAAGTCCCCACGCCCCCACAGAAGAGCTTCTCTCCTTCCCGGCGGACGGAGCAGACCTGGGCGCTGGGTCAAACACCTCCCACACCCGACAGGGCTCGTAGGAGCTTGTTTGTTAAATGTTACATTGCATGCGGACCTCAAGGAAATAGGGAACCCAGACGGTAACTCCTTGCACCGCCCCTGGCCATTCCCATGAAAATCCCCCCTGGGCTGCACAGTTCTCCTGATTCAGACGCAGATGTGTCTCTCCAGTGAGAAGAGAAACGCTACGCGCGGCCTTATAAATGTCTGCACTGCGTTAATGTAATTGTAACAGAGTGTCTCTCCAACGCCCCGAGTAGATCTCAGGGTCCCTGTGAGTGCGCACACCACATTCATTCTCGAGCACAGCTACCTATTTGCAGCCACTCGAACGGAGCCTCTAACATACAGCTCTTCAGGATAAACTTTCATTTTCTTTCTTCAATAAAACAGACCCCAATTCATGGTCTGCTACCCCTCTCGAGTAAGTGTTAAGCTTAAAACGTTATTTAAAAATTCAAAAATAAAGATATGCTCTGACGCTCCAGCGGCAGAAACCAATTCTTTGACTGAAGCGTGGAAGCAAATAGCTTTCCGTGCTCCATCTTCCGGTCTCTGTGGGCACTAAGCGGCCTCGACAGATGTGCTGCACCCCCTCTGTTTGTCTGGGTTGCAGGCGCCCGTTGGTTAAATAGTAACCTTTCATAATCAATCACGGGGGCAGAGACAATGGGCTCAGTGAGATGCATTCGCCCACAGAACCGAGTGTTTGCAAACCCGCCCACGGGAGGAGAGAACAGGGAACCGTGCTCCGTAGCCTGGAGAGGCGCACAGAGTAAACAAAGAGATTGAGGTCTTAGATCCAAGTCAAAAAAATACAGTAATAAGAAAGTTACGGCTTTTAACTGACTGCTATAACTTAAGCTGACTTTGATAAGCCTCCGACATTAATGCCTGTGCCTTCTTCATAGTGAATTATTACACCAATGTCCAATAACACACACTGGTGTTTCTAATGAAACAGACACACACACTTCAGAGAGATCTGGCTCGGGCAGGAACTGGAGGTGAGATGCATTCCCAGCCAACCACACTCTGCAAACCAGCAGCTCCCCAAGATGAGGCAAGAGGGGGGATGCTATTTCTTCCCACCCCAAGCCTACCACCTGCTGGCACTATATAGAAAAATCACAGATGTTCTTACTATTTAAAAAAATGAAATAAAAAAGTTTGAATTGCTAAAACTGATGCATTCAGGTGTTACTAATTCACTTGACTATAGAATTCTTGGACTACAAAAGATTCACCAGGGTTCTTTGGAATAGCTAACTCTTCTGGTTTCATTGGCCATAACACTGGGTGTGAAAACCTGAATTGTTACAACTTTTAAAAACAGCATCTGTGCCCGTGAGGCACTGGCTGTAATGGCCACAAATAACGGCTCAGCTGTAACTCTGAGAAACATTCGGCCTCTACATGATCGTAACAGACGGTGAGACAGAGAAGGGAGGCCTTGACCTTGACACCAGGATGGGCTCCTTTAATGAACGATGTCTTCTCTCAGGCAACATTTTGGGGAATCAGTGTTCACGCATGATTCCACCTTCATTCCAACACTGGCCGAGCCTTTATTACGCATCAAGGACTCTAACTCGGTGTCACCGTGAGATAAGACAGAGTGTTCCTTTTGTGGTCTGAAGGAGTCTGAGAGCTAGTGGGGATAACAAGTCTCAGTGACAATCACAGCAACACACACCTGACTCGACCCAGCGAGAGGCACTGTTGGGTCTCACGGCCAATCTAACCCTGCGCGACCCTGGCAGGCAGGTGCTGTGGTTCTCGCTGTTCTAGGCGGAGCCACAGGCTGAAGGTTGTGTCTCTGGAGCTCACGTGTGAGAACCTAATCCCCAGCGTGATTGGGTTAGGAGGCGGGGCCCTTAGGCGGAGATTAGGTGGTGAGGACAGAGCCCCCATGAATGGGGTTAGTGCCCTTCCCAGAGAGGCCTCGAGAGCGGCCTTGCCCCTCCCACCAGTGAGGACTGGGGAGAAGACTGCGTCTCAGAACCCACTCCTCCGGGGCCTCATCTCGGCCTTGCAGCCTGCAGACCAGAGACAGTAAGTGTCTGCTGGTCAAGCCCCTCAATCTGTGGCATTTCTGTCACTGGAGTGCAAACTAGGGCACGTGCCGAAGAGAATGCTGGGTTGAACTTTGAGAGCTGTGGCTGACGTGCACAAGGGGTTAACTGCGGCACCCGGGCTGTGCTGGAAATCTGAAAGACAGGAAGACCTACAAAGTCCTTTTTCATTCATGAAAAAGTGCCCTTTATTACAGGGCACACTTTGTAACCCGTACGGAGGTCTAACCATTGGGCTGTGCACCTGACCCTAAGACAAAGCGATACTGAACGTCAACTATCATTGGAAAATGCACTTTAAATCAAATAAAATAATGGGGGGGCGCCTTCTTCACAGTCCCCTAATGTCTGGAACAATAGAACAGGGTTCGTGGCACTGCTGGGTTACCTAAACGCAAATATGCCGAAGAATTGGCACTGATTTGGTTTAAAGCAAAGTAAACATTTGAGCTTTGGGGTTAAATGAAGTCACCGCACATTTGGCTTTAAACAGTACACTCTAGATTATTAAATTCGGCTTGACTTGCAGAGAGACAGTGTGGCAGAGGGGAGGAGGAGGGGTGGCGGCCACACCTCTGCTGGCAGCAGTGGGGACAGGGAGGCGCTGGTGGCTGGGGACTGGGAGGGAGGGCGCGGCCAGCTCTGCCCGGGTGCGGCTGCTGCCCCGTTTGCAGGGGCTGCTCCAGGGCTCAAGACGTACAGACCTGTGGCCATTAGCGCTCCCACAGAGGCTGAAACTCGGAAGCAGGGCCCCCACTCAGGAGCATGTAGTTGACCCAACGTCCCGGGGCCCCAGCCAGCAGTCACTTTGCAGGCTGGTGGAGGAAGCAAGAGGACAGGAGGAGCAGAGAGACCAAGACCGAGCCATAGGAGCTGGCCGGTGGGGCAGAGTTTCTAGACTCAGCCAGCGCCCACGGTGCCGATCAAGGAGGGGGAGACCGGAGACACCCGGTTGGCTGGCTGGGAGCTCCTGTATCAGCAAGAACAGTTTCAGGAGAGTCGCCAAGGGGAACGCCCCACCAGGGTCAGAGGACAGAGGCGAGGCTGCTGGTCTGAAGACGTCTGGAGGGCCAGAGACCCAACGACACTTCAGGAGGAAGAAAGCCCCGTGGGACACTTCTCAGGAAACATTCCCCGGGTTGAACCGATGTGACTGCTGCCCCAGCAACGGCTGTGGGAGCGCGGTCCGTCTGTCCACATGGCAGCTGCAGCCCGGAAGGAACCCGGCTTCCTCCCCTGCGGGGCCTTGCAGTGGTGGGGCCCACGGCACAGGATCGCCCCAGGGACACGCTTCTAATAGTTCCCAGAAGAGTCAAGTCACACGGGAGACACACCTCCACAGGCCCTCCAGGTGCTCGGGCAAGGCCACATGCCTGCCTTCTAGAAGGTGCTTGACCCCAGTCCTGGGGCAGAAACTCGCATTTTTCTAATTCCGCAGTCCCTGAACAAATGAGAGAGCCGACCGAACAGCATCCAGATTACATTCCAGTTTGCTGTACAAGCCCTGATCCAAAGCGAAGCCTTGAAATGCCATGCCCTGGGGTTCAACGCCAATGGCCCCTGGTGCTGGCCTCGGGCAGCACACTGAGAGGAGACCTTGTCGTTCTCAAGGTCCCTGTGAAGGGGCAACCTGTGGAGTCCACCCCACCTGGTCAGGCTGACAACGCGCTGACTGACTGCGTCGCCGATGTCCCCAGGATGGCTCGTCCACCTGGAGACAGACTCTGTCCATACGTTAAACTAAACTGGCGTCGCGGGCAAGCCCCGGTTGAAGGTGACAGTATCTAGCCATCCAGGTTGCCAATCGCTGGTTTAGGAAAGAAGAAGAAAAACGCCTCACCCTCACAGAGATGTATGGGTGGTAATGAAAGAAATGTCATTTCAAAAAGTTGTCCACCGCAGTCGGTTTTTCCCTGGGGTGTCAGCGCAAAATCAGAACAGGTTCTTAATTAACACGCCTCGGCCTCTTTCTGTTGAAAAGTAGTTACTTTTAACACATTACATAAATATCTGAAAATGGGCTATCGTCCTCAATTAGTCGTTGTTGTCTCTCGTATTCGTCATCCTTCCATGGATGACGGTCCACACCTGGAAGCCGCCGTGAGCAGGCAACGCCCCCCCCACGTGCTGCCCCGGAGCCGCTTCTTTGCCTTCCTCTCCGGCTCCCGCCCCCGCCAGGAGTGGGGCGCTGGCCCAGACAGGACGGCTGGCCTCCAGGTTCTGCTGTGAGCTCGCCTGTGTACAGCCAACCCAGGAGCGGCTCCAAAAAGGCAAGCCTTCTGGGGAACAGCGGAAAGCCTCATTCTGTGTTGTGTTGTTTTGTGAACAACCAAAATCTTCCCTGGTTTTCCCTGGAGCAAAAGGTCCATTTTTATTTTTTTAAGTGAACGCATCAGCAGTTAGATTTCACAGGAATGGCTGCTCTTAGTTCTCAAGTTCTTTGAGAATCCCTTAAAAAAACCTGTTGGAAATGTATGACTGTTTAGATACGGACTCTTTGCAGAGTCTTCTGGACCATCACCTAGGAAACAGTTTCCGGGTCCTCCCCAGCCTATTGGCCAGAATGAGATCAGTGCAAACATGGAGACTGAGACCGAACTCGGGAAGATGCCTTTGGTTATCAATTCGTAACACAATGTGCCCTTGGTGAGTCACCTGAACACCGAGCACCGGCCTGGGAGACCTTAGCCCAAGCCTTCCACACAGAGCAGGGCCTCGGAGGTCCGCAACATCCCCGTACCGGATGGCCTTTGCCGAAACCCTGCACAGCCACACGGGCGAGATGCCGCACAGAAGCTGTGGGACGGCGTTGTGGGAAAAAGCCGGGCCACCTCTTACAGCTCGGCAAACGCAGCCAAGTTTCCAATAAACTTCGCGCCGCCAAAATATTACAAGGCGCGAGTCCGCTTTTGTCTTCAACGGAACCCGAACTTGAAAGCAAGAGTAACTTACAATTGCACTGCCAAACTGCACTTTAAAATTGTTTTTCTCATGACAGTGGAAGGTAACTGTCCATAAAGATTTGATGAAAGAATATACACAGATATACAGCATTTTCCGAAACTCAAATGAAGGCTCCTGGTCAAAGCAGAAAAACGAATATAGAAAATTCCAGAATGATCGCTTCTACCAGCTGCTCAGGTGCAACACCTGAGTGTTAGCAGACAGTGGGGGGGGGGGAACAATTTAATCAACATATGATTATCTCTTATAAAAAATTAAATTGTACAAACCTCATAGTGTTCGTATTCATCCACATCAAACGTCTCAAAGTCGAAAAACCCATGCTGTAATCCCTGAAAGCAGAGTTTGAGTTAGTGTTTGCACACTCAACTGGCAAGGGTTCTGCCATTCCCCAAACTCCCACTCGTAAATGGTGCTCACTGACTGCATGGAGAACATGGGGGACCTTCGGTTTGTAAATGTTTCTAAAAATCAGCTTCTAACATCAGTTGTTTTGCTTTGTGGCTTTCTTACAGGGGGGACGAAACACTTAGCAAACTATGAAAATATGCCCCACAAAATACATCTCGAATTAATTTACATTATTTTGTGTAAAATTAATTTATGTCTACAAAGTGCAACATACTAGCAAATTTATAGTTCAGACCTCTTGAGGCCATACAATTAATTAATTCATACCTGACCATAACAGAATACATAATAGCGATTTGCTTTTCAGATAGAAGAAAATCAAAAATTCTTAGGATGGTTCATCTTCCTTTTGTCATTAATGAGATATTTAGAAAAAAAGGCTTTTTTTTTTTACTTAACAGGCCCTTATTTGTCCCTAAAACTCTACGTGGAAAGACGTAAGGTGAGAGCTTCCAACAGAGTAAAGCTGTACTTGATGGTCTCACGGTTTAGAGGGAAGAACCGATACGCCCAACAATGCAAAGAGAAAGTTGACACTCCTTTTTGTAACGAATGACTTAGAACTTTTAAAAACTACCTGGCCTACTCAGATATGCTATTTCTAAAAGAAGCAGGGTCCTTTATAAATCATACAGGTTACAAAGAATGCAAAAAGCACAGTTACTTTGAAAAGCGACATGAGAAAGTCACTAAAAATGGAAGAAACTGTTAAGCCAGGCTCCCAGACAGCCGTCTTTGAAATACTTTAGAGACCAGCGTTCTCCAAAGTGCCGATCACGGACCAGCTGCAGCAGAAGCACTGACGGTTATAAGCAGCATACAGGTGTCTAGGCCTCATCCCTGCACCAGAGGCCGCAGGTGGGGAGGGTGGGGGCAGCAGACCGGCATTTTTAACCTGCTGTCTTAGGGGGGTTCTCCTGAGTGCTAACCGCTGCCAGACGGGTGCAGACAACTCTCCCAGAACAGGCGGAACGACTCCACTCCTCCGTCCGTCCCATTCCAGAGACATCGGTGAGGAATGGGCGACTGCTGGGCGACCGCTTTCAGAGTCTGCGCTTGTGCAGGTCTCTGTGGGTAGGCCCCGCACACACGTGACCACGCTTCTGACGCCGCCAGTGCAGAGCGACCAGAAAGACGAGCTTCCTGGAGATGCAGAGCAGCGGCCGCGCCCGTCTCAGTCCTCAGGAGGTTTGGCGCTCCCTGCCACAAAGATCACGGGGCGCGCACCCCACAGAAGAGGCATTTGAGGGAATTGTGCGTCAGCTGCTTAGAGACAGGTTGGGCGACCTAGAGGGTCCTCTGAAACCTCATCTACACTCAGGCAAAATAAACCCCAACGGCCGATGAAACAAGAAATTTACCCAAGACCAAGTGCCTTCCCTCTACAGCAGGACGGATGCCACGGATTTCCACGTCAAGTCGGCAGTTACCATGACCACAGGGGGAGCACTTTCTAAATTTCACAGGTGTCATACGAGAAATGGGCTGGGCCAGATGGCGGGAGAGGCAAAACAACGATGACAACAATGATGACGACGATGATGATGATAAAAACAGAATTACCTGTTCCCCCAGGCATATTTTTAAATGCTATGATTGTGGGTTATGTGTTGGGTACTATCTCCATAAAGCCTCTTAACTGATGTTTCAGGAAGCATGTGTTGGTGGTATTATTTGCAAGGGGTGGACCAGAGGGCCTTAATAGTTTTTAAATTGGAAGAAAAGTGTTTGAGAAGTACTTTATAGCTTTACAAAGTTCAAATTCACTTTTTGAAAGCTGAGACAATAGCACTGAAGTCCCACCAGCAGCACGCAAAGACAGTGGCGTCATTCCTTTTCCTGTTTGTAACACCCCGCGTCACCCACAGCAGGGACAGTTGTCACTCATTACCTTTCTGATTCCCTGCAGGCAGTCGAGGATGGTGAGGTTGTAAGTGCAGTTTCCGAAGGAAGCATCCCTGCAAACACACACACACAGAAGGTTACGGTTAAACACGGGTATTTCCACATTAAAAGACGCAAATACCCAAGTCGGCTGCACAAATGCTCGTGTGGCCTCTCAGCCAGGGACACGGTAGACCATGGGACACATGAGGACCTGCGAGCTAAGTGCACCGAACTCCCCTGCAGCGGCTGTGCCCCGGTGGGCGGAATTCATCAGGAAGCACGTGGAAGAGCTCACACTCTGGGGCCAGACTGTCTCTGTTGCAAGTCCGACCGGCTGGGGCCTCGGGCAAGTGACGTGACCTCTGAGTCCCAGTGTCGTCCTCTGTGACATGAAGACACAGAGAGCAGCAGCCGTTCACGGGACCGGTGCCGCTCGCATTTATGAAGTAGGACGTCCTTCACGCAGTGCCCAGCAGAGGAAGCACTCAATGAGCACGATGGCCACTATTATTATTGTTCCTCGTAACCAACAGCACTGGACTCTTTGATTAAGTAAGACAGAGGTGCCAAATACAACTCTGAAAATTCGAAGGGGGTGCAGGTCAACAGAACCTCGCAGCTATTTTCATGGATTAAAGGGCATCTCCCCAACCCTCCCCCCCCCAAAACAAGGACACAGTGGTTGTGCTTCCGGACGGCCTCCCCTGGGACCCCTCCCACCCGAGAGTTCCCAGCGCACCATGAGGGGTTCTCTCCAAAGGGGTGGGGACCTGCTGCCCCCAAAGCCCAGGGCTTCATCCTTTATTTAAGTTTTCAGAGCAACTCAGCAGACCTGCTTTGGGCAACGTAACACTGAAGTATCAAGTTCAGGTCAGTTAAGCAAGAACTGGCACCGGAGCTTTAACACTAGCACCGTGCCAAGGTGTCCACAGCAAGAAACTTGACCTCGAAGCTCTCAGTCTCCCTGCCCAGCCCCCACTGCTGACCCGAAGGGACAGAGCTGTCAGGGACCAGAGATGACAAGCCGGTCCCAGGGCAGCAGGGGGGTGGGGCTGGCGGTGTCCCGCGGGGAGGAAATGACCTCTGAGGGCTTTAACATAATAATATAAAACTGAGTGTTACATCACAACCAGCCCAGGTAACTTGAACCCAGGGCTGCTAAGCCATGAATTAAAACGCAACTTCAGCATCCTCGAGTTTCAGCATCCCGATCGATGGCCTCGTGTGCAAACATTAAGTCCGCAAAGCAGCTTGACAGAAATGTCTCCTAAGCCCTGAAACTTCAAAGTTAACCCAGATAAACAGCAGGGTTGCTCTAGACCCCTGTCCGATGGCCAGAATTCATCCGTTTAAAGCCATTGGGATGCATGAGTCAGTGAAAAGCAAAATAACCCCTTCTTCATATACCTTGTAAAGACATTAAACATCTATCAAGAAGCAAATACGAATGGACCACACCAAAGAGAGAGTATCTGAGGGCCTAAGACAAGACACCAGTGTGTGTGAATCACTGCACAGTCGCTTGTGGGCACTTGCTCCCGTGGGGTGGGGGTTCAGGGTCAAGGTCTTATCTGTACCAAGGACCCGTCAGCAATCTGAGGGACCCTTTTCTCAGCATAAGTTTCAAATGCACGAAATAAAATACAAAGGAATAGCAGAAGATTCACTCGATTAAATTTAAAGTTAAGAAAGTATTAAGAAAAAGCTTGTGCTACAACAATATGTACTTTTGTATTACTGTGCTACACAGCAAGGCGTAGGGATAGGTCTGACAAGGGCCACAAAGAAGAAAGAAACGTAAATAGTATCTAAAGATACAAGCAACAGCTGTGGTGGAATTACAAGTGTCTACGACAAAGTCACAGTGTTCTGCCGGGACAAAGTCGTGGGTGCTGCTAATGCTGCTGTAGTTCATGTCCAACATTTACGACTGACTGTCATCCCACAAGGTTTGTGAAAATAAAGATAATCCTATTTTGTCACCCCAAATGACTAACTCGCTTATATTAGCTCCACAGACACTAGATTAAAAACTACTCCTTCAGGAAAGAAAAGGGAATAAAACTTTTGCATTTAAAAAGAAAATACTCTAAGATTAGCAGGTGTTCTCCATTTCCCCCAGCCTACCTCCCCACGCCCAGACGCAGCTACACAAACTCACAGATGGCAGTTGTCAGAAAACCCCAGGCCCAGCCTTCAGACTGTCTGCAAAGCACGGGAAGACTGCGCGCTATCTCTTGTCCAAGCAAAGCCACACACTCACTAGGGACTAAAAAGGGAGCTGGTGGCCCGAGGGAGCAGATCTGGGAGTTAATATGGCACCTGGCTGAACTGGGGCCCTGACGCAGTCAGGCCGGCTGGTCAGATGGGCCCACGCTCACAGACCGGAATATGTGGTAAGGCGAGCGAAACCCATTCAGTCACACTCTCGGGACCAGGAAAAAAGGTGAGACACCTTTTTCAAACACCTGCACTGCTGGGTCATTCAGAGGCGTCAACACATTTAATCCTCAAGACAGTCGTGAGGCCAGCAGGTCCCGACACCTGCCCCAGGCTGGGCAGGGGAGAGAGAAATGGCTCACTGGTGGCCTCCGGCTCAACATCGTCAAAGGACAGGAACTGGAAAGTGAAGGGCCGCAAACACCTGTGACATACTTTTGGGGGGAAGAGAAAGTACAGGTGGCAGATGAACCCAGGTATTTACCAGAACCTCACTTAAAAAAATAATTTTAAAAAGCCTTTCTTTGCCCTGGCTGGTATAGCTCAGTGGATTGAGCACGGGCTGCAAATTAAGGGGTCGCCGGTTCGATTCTCAGTCAGGACACACGCCTGGGTTGCAGGCCATGTTCCCAGTAGGGGGCAAGTGAGAGGCAACCACACATTGATGTTTCTCTCCCTCTCTTTCTCCCTCTCTTCCCTCCTCTCTAAAAATAAATAAATAAAATATTTTGTTTTTAAAAGCCTTTCTTTTTTTGCCCTAGCTGATGTAGCTCAATGGATTGAGCACAGGCCTGTGAAGCAAAGGGTCACCAGTTCGGTTCCCAGTCAGGGCACATGCCTGGCTTGCAGGCCAGGTTCCTGGTAGGGGACCCATGAGAAACAACCACACATTGATGTTTCTCTCCCACTCTTTCTCCAAAAAAATAAATAAAATATTTTTAAAAGCTTTTTTTTAATGGAATTCAACAAGGTCAGAGAGAATGAGAGTGTATACCATAGTGATAAAAGTCTGAAGCCCAGAAACCAGGTGAGTGGCCTAAGAAGGCCAAGAAACTGAAACCCAAGGTGAAAACCGCAGAATCGACCCAATTAACACGAGATAATTCTCCGAAGGCTCAGGAAGGGCCGCGCTGGGCTCCTCCGGAAGCGGGACGTGACTGTGGCGACGGGCGGGGCTGTCGCTAACGCCGTTGAGGGAGCAACGGCACGCAGGACGACTTGGGCAGATGAGGTCGCTGGAATTTTACGTTTAGTTTTATGTTTTGCATATATTTTGCTGCAAAGACGTCAAAGAGAAATTACACTTAAGGAACAAAGGGAAAGGGTTCGAGTCATCTTGCCCCAGAGCTGAGTGAGAGTCGACGGCGGAATCTTCAGAAATCCCGAGTCCACAGCAGCACCGGCAGGACGGTGCTCACGCCATGGGCGCCAGCAAACGCTCTTTCTTTCCCTCGCCGGGTGACCAACACGCCGCTGCTAAGAGCCTAAGAGGCCACTCGGCACCTAGCAACCTTGTCCGTGGTAATAAGGAGATGAAACCAGAGAGGAAAGGACATGTTTACACAAAACAGTAAGAAAACATTGCTGGTAATGAGCCTGTTTGGAAAGAAGAACAGAGGCAAGGTGCTTACAATGTGAAGACCACACTGAAGAGTCCAAAAGAGCCAATGACAGAGAGCGGGGGTGACAGTGGTCCACAGTGGTCCTGATGCTGTGATTCTCTGTAACTTATCTGGGTGGCAACTGTTAGGATATTTGCAAACACCTGCACAGCCACAGGGTGGGAAGGGTCTCAGAAGGCATCTTTAGCATCCTCCCAAGCAGTGAGCTAAATCCCATCCACCCCACCACCACGGCACCATGAGCTTCTGAAGGACAAGGAACGTGACCTTGAAGTCTGGGTGCCCAGAGGCTAGTACAGAGCTGGGCACACTTCTAGTCTGTAGATGCTGAATGAATGAATGAACAAATGGATAAATGAATGAATGGTCATCACCAGGAGATCATTCAATTTACGCCTGAACAACTCTGGTGGCTGGGAACCAGTGACCTTTCAAAGCCAAAATTACATAAAACAATCTTTCATCATAAACAGTGAATAACAACAAAAACATAATCTGAATAACTGCTGACCAAAGGAACTAGAATGTCAGCCGCAACAGAAAGCTGCACGTCATTTTAAAATATTTTCATAACCATGTTAAAATAAAAAGAAACCAATTATATTCACTGTAATGTGTTTCATATAGTCCAATATATCTGTAATAGTACCACTTCAGCATGTAATCAACATAATTATAAATAAAATTTTTATATTGAGTCTTTAAAATCCAATGTGCATTTAAAGTTGCAGTCTGTTTGAGTTTTGGCTAAACCAACTCCAAGGGGCTCAATAGCCATTTCACTAGTACTAGACAGTTAAGCCCGGGACTGTGTATACTGTATGGACACTGGGGACCGAGCCCTGCCCCAAAGTACTTTCCCCAATTGTCCGAAGTACAACTGGCTCCCAGGCTCTGGCCAAATCCTTTGCAAAGATAAAAGTCATACTTAAGAGCATCGAATAAGAGGCATTCAATGAAATGCCTACGTTCATTAATGTCAATGAGTACAGTCTTGCTCCAAACCGCCTTTCCCACCGAGGCCGGCTCCTGCACTCACCCTAACAAGCACAAACAGCCTGGCACCGGCCTCCCCAGAGGGCTCGGTGACACAGGGACCGTGAACACAGGACCAGAGAGAACAATCTGAGCCAGTTTTCACAACTCAAGCTACGTGGATTTACTGGGTCATGGGGACCGGAACAGTTGTTCCTGTTATGAAATTTTATATAAGGTGGTGAGCAGCTGCT